GATATCGGTTGTCACGCAAAAGTTCCTTCTCTGGGAGGATGTGAATTTCAACCAGTAAGTGGGTCCCAACCATGGATACGTACAAACAGATTAAGTCAGTTGTTGTCCATTTATGCGCTGGAATGCGCATCCAAGTAGGGCTGATTGTGAACCTGTGCCCGCACGGCAGAGGCAGTGCCACGACCATTTGGGTTGGCAGAGGCCATAGGGATTGGGTTGCCCGAATAACGTTCGAACAACACTCAGCGGCACAGCGTTGCATTCGTGAATTTGTTGGGGGCTACCCCTCGTGGCAGTAGCGGTAGGATCTAGGTTGCTGTGGCCAGGTTCACACTTTGGTCAACCATTGAAAATGTTGCAAATTATTTTGCTCCGAGTGATTCCCAAAGAGTTGTTGTTTTTTTGGCTGAGTGTGGACAGCGCAGCTCGGCCAATGGTCGAACCTGTCTTATGCAAACCTTCGTTTGCGAAGGTAGCAGCATTCTTTTGCCGACTTCCTTTTTGCCAAAGGTCAGGACTTAAGGTTTTGGCCATTTGTTGCAGCTCGTCTTTTACCACAGGCAACGCCTTGATTTCTGGCACATGTCAAGACGTCTTTTTGTTTCTTTGCAACTATTTGTCCACAAAATATACACGGGTAGTTCTACATTTTGTGTATCGTTTAACCACAACTCTCTCTTCAAAATACTGCCCAAACTCTGAACAATGCATCTGTGGCAGCAGCAGAGGCTCCCCAACGTTGATTGACTTGGAAACCTTCCCTTCGAAATACCATTCCAAAACATACAAGTACATTGTTGGCCAGTCTTTGTGCTTTACTTGCGGGCACGGTGACATGTGATTGGTCGCGTTGGTCGCGAAGGTGGCCAGTTTGGCAGATCAAGTCAATTTTCAGGAATGCGGGGAAAGCTTCAACGACGCAGGGAACATTTTTTTGGAAAGGATTGACCACCCTGTAGAATCATCATTTCACTCCTTGATACTGATGGTTACCTTTCATACAAACAGACAAGATTTGACGGGCAAGTTTAGAAGATCGGAAGCATTCCCTGCGCAGACTTTCTTCGCTCCGTCACTTATGCTCGGTACATGGGTCGGTAGGTTTCGGGATTGAGCTGTAGTGCATGAGAAAAACATCCATGCCACTAGATCCCCTAATAAATATAAATGTTTAAATATTTACATATATGCATACATACATATGTTCTTCCATCCGTCTCTATTTGCTTCTGACATCTAGTTGAGATTCGAATAGGTTGTTTGGAATGTGTATGAGCAGGCTTGCTGCACATGGTAACATGTCATACAATGTGAGGCCCCCCAGTTATAAGTTGGTTGTTAAGCCCCAGTAACTACATTATAGTTATAAGTACCATAAACCATAGTTATTGGAGTTAAAAACCAACACGCACATGCCTTTTTATCCGACACGCACACCATAGGTGCCTGCTGTGGTCACTTTGGATGGTGTACCCACTTAACGGTGTCAAATGCGTGTAGACGCGAAGCCGATTTGTGACAAGACTCCAAAACAACGAGCAGGGAACCAACAAGACTCCAACCTACACAGCGGACTTGGTCGGCTTCAAACATCTTTGGCCGGGGCTAGGCCAAGCTGTGTGTACATTGAACCTGTCCCACCCTCCCTCCTGACTGTTTTGAAGTGCTGAGGCTCTGAGTGATGATGTGAAACTGTTGGTGGCCATGGAGCACGTGCGTAGCAAAGGCGCCCCTTTGTCATACCACTGTGCAAAACATGTGTTGTTGGTAGCTGGAATGCTCTGTAGCACGCTCCAGCCCTCTGCAAAAACAGCAGACTTGCTAGCACCATCCGCCCTTGAACAGGAATTTCCCAGCTGGGAAACAACAGAATTTTAGGTGATTTGCGGAGCTGCTATCTCAGCTTGCCGCTCCGCCCCGTCCTACACACGAGCCAGAACTAATCCACAAGCTAGGTGTAAGCCCGGACGCTGCGTCCAAGAGGCTTCTGGTAGCGGAGCCTCTGGTAGAGGGGAGCCGCCACGGCTTTTGGGAACTCTGATGGTCCAAGATGTCCCACCCTCCCTCCTGACTGTTTTGAAGTGCTGAGGCTCTGAGTGATGATGTGAAACTGTTGGTGACCATGGAGCACGTGCGTAGCAAAGGCGCCCCTTTGTCATACCACTGTGCAAAACATGTGTTGTTGGTAGCTGGAATGCTCTGTAGCACGCTCCAGCCCTCTGCAAAAACAGCAGACTTGCTAGCCCATCCCGCCCTTGAACAGGAAGTTCCCAACTGGGAAGCAAAAGGATTTCAGGTGATTTGCGGAGCTGCTATCTCAGCTTGCCGCTCCGCCCCGTCCTACACACGAGCCAGAACTAATCCACAAGCTAGGTGTAAGCCCGGACGCTGCGTCCAAGAGGCTTCTGGTAGCGGAGCCTCTGGTAGAGGGGAGCCGCCACGGCTTTTGGGAACTCTGATGGTCCAAGATGTCCCACCCTCCCTCCTGACTGTTTTGAAGTGCTGAGGCTCTGAGTGATGATGTGAAACTGCTGGTGACCATGGAGCACGTGCGTAGCAAAGGCGCCCCTTTGTCATACCACTGTGCAAAACATGTGTTGTTGGTAGCTGGAATGCTCTGTAGCACGCTCCAGCCCTCTGCAAAAACAGCAGACTTGCTAGCCCATCCCGCCCTTGAACAGGAAGTTCCCAACTGGGAAGCAAAAGGATTTCAGGTGATTTGCAAAGCTGCTATCTCAGCTTAGCGGAGCTTCTGGTAGCGGAGATCCGCTACGGCTTTTGGCAACTGTGATGGTCCAAAACGCAGATCAACTTTGTTTGCATTAACGGATGCAAGCAAAACAGATAACCGTAACAACGTCACGGCTGATCTTCCAACATCCTTGGCTATGTTCATGCAGAAGCTGGTTCTGACTGCAGAACGTAGACAGAAAATGCCCAGGCTTCAGTTGTTCCAGAATGCAGATCTCTTATTTATGCGACAATCCCGACAGTACCCGCAGAACAATGTGCCGCTCAAAGTAGCAGGTTGATGGATGAACGCTCCGATATATAGTTTAAAAAAGCTGGGCTAACTCGCCTCCTCATTGATCTTGCAATGGATCGCAAAGAAATGTGCTTTACAACAGTTCAATTAACAGTGAGAAAGGGTCCAGCAAAAGTGCAGTTTCTGTATGTAGGAACATTGGTTTGTCATGGCTGTGCTTGCCTGCCATTCATAAAGGCCGCAGCCCTCTCAAGATCATTTAGGATCCGATCTCTCTATTTCTCTGTTTCGGCGCATCCCTCGGCCATCATGTCCTGCTTGCAGAGCCCCTTGCCAAACTAAACAGAATGCCCTTGCAGACTTGTTCTTGTTCTTGTGCAAAAAGCTTCGTATTTTATGCTTGGCACACTGCGACAGGTTTTGATCCGATCCGGGAAGCTGCGTGCAGGGCCGACAATGTTGCGATGGGCCAGGCAATCCTTTTGTTGTGGAATGGTCCCTTGTCGGCAACAAGATGAGGCAGTGGTGTTGTGTGGTCCTCATGGGCAGAGTTTAGGACTCCGCATGTCAACCTTGAATCTGAGGCCGTAAGCGCTCAGTTTTTGAGGCAGCCTTGCACGGAGGCTTTTTGGATCCATGAAGATTTTGCTGTGAGTCCCTGATAAATCAGGATGTAGCAGCGGGCCATCCCTGCGCAAACTTTTCTAAGGCTGTAAGAAACCTGGACATTTTGAATGCAGTTCAGGCACAACTTGCATTGAAGATTTTGATGGGTTTGATCAGGAAGTTGTTACTGTTAAACAAGTCTCGAAATCTTGAAAAAATCGTTGCGGTCAGTGGTCTCTCCCGCGCCTTGCGCCAGGACCGCTCACATCTTTCGTTCTTCGCGGTGACCTAGACAATCTTCACGGGAGTTGGTGCAGCCTGTCAAGCATATGGAGCAATATGTGACTTGATAATATGAGACAGGTCACGAGCCTTTAAATTGGCAGCAGAGAACATGAGGCAATTGCTTCATGGCTCCAGTTGTGGACCGACTCTGCCGGCAAGCAGACCAAAACGCGTGTTGGTGTGCCTCGGTTGCACCTGTTGCGGCTTGAGATTGCAAAGACGGGAGGCTCAGACCTGAAAGTTGCGGTGCAGGTGACTACTTCATGGACACTATTAAGGAAAGGGTAGCCCACCGCTGCAGTGACGCATGTGCCAGGATCTGTCGATGTACCTTGGTTGCATCTGCAAAAATCCTTGTGGTTTTGCTGTCAAATGTGTTCAGTTTGTTGTCTCGCCTGCAGATTCTGCTCTTTGCAGGGATGCCGTTTCGGATCGGCAAGCGTTGGGACACGGTACACCCTTGCATTTACAATATTGACACAGGGCTGTGGATCGATTCCAAGTGGTGTCGCTTGGAAGCAAGGCATTGCAGAGAAGTATTGAAACAATTTAGTCAGTGCAAGCTTCGGGGTAGCTGGCCAAGGCGACCACCTTGCTTGGGCCATTGCAAGTCGATCCTTGTCGACGGGAAATCTGTCAAGTGCCTGTGAACGCTCTTGGCGCAAAATCAACCGGCCGCTCTTCTATCGCCGCTTTCGACCCCAGCAGATGCTCGCTTCAATGTTACGCTGCCGTGACCCGAAGAGATTTGAACACAATATTACCAGGGACCACAGTCAAGTCATGATGATACGGCACAAGTTGTCTTGTTTGGGCCAAAATCTGATTTGGCTTACTTCAGGCAGTCGGCCTCAGACAGAGATGTCATCCGTCCGGTGCCCACGCCCTTTGGCTCACTAAAAATTCACTTCCGCAGCCAGCCGTTGTTCGTTAAAGTGCTCTAAACCAAAATCCGAGGAGAGAGGAGCAGTCAGATTGTGGTCGGTTGCCACTTTTCTGCATACAAGAATGATCTTTGCGTGATAAGCAGCAATGACCTTAATGACCTTTGTGTTGTCGTTCTGGTGGAAGGTTTCAAAAACAAAAGGCAGAAGATGAGAACCTTGCCGGCATATGTTGTCGCATGGAAACCCGTTGGCCTTTTGAACTTATTCCTGTTTTGGACTTGCACGCAAGGAAAGCCACAGTGGAATGGTTGCTGCTCCTTGCTTAACTTGTGAACACGAATTATTGTTATAGGTATCAATCTTGATGCTTTCGGAGTCAAACAATGTTGAACTTTGGTGTATAGCGAAACAAGGCGTGACAAGTCCAACATCCGCAAGGCGCTTGCACAGCTGCTTGGTGAAAATACTGTGTTTCTGAATAGCTTGCTGTCGACTGCACACACGGGACATGATTTGTCTTGCAGTGTGCAAGGTCAGAGCTCTCCAAGCGACAGCGACGACGGCTGGTGGAGGACAAGTACTGGACGAATGTGCACCTCAACGCCATCGAGCGCAGGAAGCGCCGCATGCACCGACTGGAAAAAGAACATGACGCCCTCTTCCGGGAGTACGCAGAGATTGTGCAGAAGGAATTGGTGGATGCCAGGGATGCAGGCGGGCATGTGTATTTCCATGTGCATGTGTTCCAGATTGCGCTGTGCAGTGTGTAGCTCAGGTAGCTTGGGAAGCAAGCCGCCTGCCAGCAGAAGCCGAAGTTCGGCTATGCCCGTGGAGCACCTCGGCTGCATTTTGTCAGGCGTGTGCTTGATTGAGAAGTAGGGCAACTATAATTGAAAGCAATCAGGTCCAACCTGCTTCAAATCAAGGCCTTCGCGCTTTTCGGACGTTTGCTTGATCGATACGCTGCGAGCGCACGGCTTCAAAGTCCCGTATACGGCCAGCGGGCCTTTCTGGGCAGTGGCTGATGGCAACCGCTTTCTGCGACCTTGGCAGCTTCCTGGACGCAATCCCTTTGTTCAATGAAATATTCTGCGACAAAATCAGAGACAGAGAGAAAGAGAGAAAGAGAGAATATATATATATCTTTATATTATATATTCACTTTTAGGCTGGCTGCCTGTCAACTGAGGAGCTGCGTGCAGCCCGTTTCTCATGAAGCACTGCGGGAGGCTGATCAGGACGTTGAGCTGATCGTGCACAGCAAATCGCATTTTGTCGCTTTGCGAAAGCTTGAAGGGGAGTGGCAAGTTAACTTTGGCCACAAGAGGCACGTTTGGCATGATGCTGTGATCGCCACAGCGCCCAATGGAGTCGGGCCCTACTGGCGACGGGATGAAAAGTGGCATGTGGACATAAGCCAGGTCACGGCCTTTGCAATTGTCCACAATGGCGAAGGCTACGTAGCCCCGCGCAGCGACCGCATTGGCTCTTCTGAGTCGCCGGCTTTCCCAACCTTCATCGACAGCGAGTTCTCTAGCACGCCGGACAGCCCTTCCTCGTCTTCCTGCAGTTCTTTGCTTCAATCAGTTGTCTTGGAGAGGATTCACGGACTCAACACCTTCTGTTCCGAATACATTGCGCTACTTGCCAGCCAGCCAGAACTTTTTGCCACATTGCCATCTCCTTTCAGGCTTGTCCCACAAGGCGCATGGTCCACTTCGCTGCGTGAGAGCAGGTCCGCCTTCAACCTCCTGCTTGAATCCAGCTCCCAATCTGACAGACTGTCATCAGAAACGGTGGCCAGGGTCTTCAAGCGCTTGCGCATCTACTTTTCCATGTGCCGCCAGTTTGTGGACTTGATTCAGCAGAATCCTTCCAGCCTCATTCTTCCTAACCCTTGCGACCCCTGTATCAGCAAGAGGGAATGGGAACGGGCTGCGTGGAACCAGCGGCAGGCCTTTCAACAAAACCGCGATGCCGAACAAGCTGAATGGGAGCAGCGGCAAGCTTCGCCACAAAGCAGTGATGCTTTGGGAGGTAGTATTGTGGCAGTGGTGTCAGTGCTGACTGGAGAGCACATATGCTCGTGTGATTTTGAACATGATGGTGATCGAAGTTTGGTAGACGTAGTTCGAAATGTTGCTAGCGGAGTGTGCCAGCTACCTTTTTTTGCCATCGACGTCTTCTGTAGTGACAGCGAAGAGTCTGCTGCATCACCAGCCCTTTTGCAGGAAGATTTGACATGGCTTGACTTGGGACGGCCAGCCGAAGTCCAGATACTTAAGAAACATCGGGTATTGGAATGGACTGAGGACATCTTCACTGCAGTGGACATGCGGGACACTGACGCAGTGAGGTGGTGTTTGACACAGGGGCAAGACCCCAACTGCACATTGCAGCAGTCTGTCTTGTGTTGTGCGGTGGAGACAGGCTCTCTACCAGTTGTCCAGATGCTGCTGAAAGGTCAGGCATGCCCAAATTTTGCTCCACACAGCCGCAACCGCCCATTGCACACGGCGGTTCTTCATGACCAAGATCATGTCTTGTCAGCCCTGCTGGAGTCCGGAGCAGATCCCAACTTGGTCAATGGGAATGGCGACTCGCCTCTACATCTGGCTGTCCTGTACGGGGATCTTCCAATGTCCTGTCGTTTATTATCCTCTGGTGCCGACCCATTACTGCACAACAGTGACAGCCAGAGCGCTTTCTTCTGCGCAGGGCCTGGGCTGCTTGTCACCATGTGCATTTGCCACTGCGTAGATCGGGTGACACCAGTGGATTTAATTGCCCGTCATTTACCAGTCATTCTGCAGCATTGTTCCTGCAGGAGCTTATGGACGGTCTCCAAAGTCTTCGCACGTCAGCAAAAGTATTGGGATGTACTAGGTGGAGGGCTTGTCGTGCTGTAGTCTGCCATCACTGGAGAAGAAGTTCTGCGTTTACCGATTTCAGAACTTGGGACTGGTCAACAAATCAAGCGCATCTTGGCCCGATTTTTGGGACACCCAACGTTTGCGATCAGCATCTTCGCTGACGGCGCAGCAGTCTTTGAAGAGGCCACGTGGGGCCCGTTAGGCTTTCCAGCCAGCCTCCAAGTGATTCTCAAACAGAGAACAACAACGCACACATCAACACTCGTTCATTCCATCTTGGCTGGAGATGTTGGTGGTGCGAAAGCAGCTCTGGAAGCCGGCCAAGATCCAGATTGCTGGGTAAAAATCACTGGGCGCTTCTCTGAGCCAGCTTTATCGGCAGCAATCGCTGTGCGCAGCACCCGATGCGTCAGCTTGCTGCTCGAAGGCCTCGCAAATCCAAACGCTGCTGGAGGCGATCGCCGGACCGCATTGCATTTGGCAGCGTTGGTTGCTGAGCCACTCATTGCCAAAGCAGTCCTGATGGCCCAAGCCAACGTCCACGCACAGGACTCGTTCGGCCAAACACCTCTCCACCTTGCTGCCATGCGCAGCAACGTTGAAATTCTCCAGGATTTGCTGGAAGCCGGGGCAAACCCTTTGGCCCGTGACCAGGATGGGGAGACACCGCTGGTGGTTGGATTTGGAACAGAACTGGACTTGGATGCGCGTTGCCTTTTGTTGAACAGTTGTTGGCCGCGCCTGCAAGCAGTTGATATCTTCCAGCTAATTCTGGTGGAGTTATTTGATTTTGTAGCCATCCACAAGGTTCGCAAGCTATGTCGACCCCTGAACTGCCAAGCCATCTTCTACTTTGGCCACGACATTTGCGGAGGAAGTGGCGTGGACCCTAAGAAGCGCAAGGTTAATACAGATATCAGGCACAACAAGCTTATTGCAAAAAGCTTATGTGAGCGCAGAAAGAATGACGTTCACATAGCGCCGCATTCCACAAAGCTTGCCATGCCTGACACAACATCTTTGCACGATTTCAATCTGCAATCGCTCCTCCCAGAGGTCCTAGGACATGGGTACGTGGTGCGGAGCATCATGCCAGAGAAACCATGCACCTGGCCGACGTCGTCCCCAGAAGTCATCGACCACCTGCGATTTCTGCACGCCCATCCTCGAGATGCAAGATTAACGTTTGAGCCCGAGAGCCACACATATTTTTGGGACGGTCGCAGAGTCAGCATCTCCACAACGGGCCTGTTGCACAACTTCACTCAAGGCTTCGATCCAGACGAAGCAATTGCAAAAATGACGTCTGGTCGCAATTGGCCCCGCCTTGGTTACTTGAAGCATTCCATCCCGGATGCAGTGTGGCCAGCCTTGTCAAATTTGGGCTATGCAGAGGAGCTGCTCGTGCTGTTGTCAGCGAAACCGCGTCCAGACGAACAAATTTGTGAACTTACAAGAAGTCTTGTCAACCAGCACCCGTCTGACAAAGACGTTCTTCAAAGTATCGCACAGTCTGCTGCGCAAATAAAGCTGCAGTGGTCAGAGCGAGCAGAAGTGGGAGCTTCGCAAGGCACTTGGATGCACACTTCCTTTGAGTGTTTGCTCAACGGCGGGTTCATCACTACTTATGATGAGGAAGTTTCTCTTTTCAAGAAGTTTCTGGAGTCTCTAGTTGCTTCGTCCAAAGGCATCCAAGTCTTTCGCACTGAGTGGGCGATCTTTGCAACGGAAGAAGACTTGGCCGGATCAATTGATTTAGCCTTGAAGACACCAGATGGTTGCCTGGTTCTGGTTGATTGGAAGCGCACCAAGGGCTTGTCTCTGAAGTTCGAATCCTTCGGCAGACGCATGAAGGCATGCCTGTCACATGTGCCCGATTCGACATTGTGGCAGTACCGGTTGCAGCTGAACATCTACAGGTGCATTCTGGAAAAGTACTATAGCTGCAGAATTTCTGCCATGTTCATAGTTGGCTGCAATCCAGACAATGGGGTGTCTCCATTCGTTGAAGATGTACCGTTCCTTCAAGAAGCTCACGCTTTGATGACAAGCCGCTTGCAACGGCCGAGCAATGATGTTTGTGCCGGAGGAAAGCTTGGTTGCGCCACATTGAGTTATTGCCCAGCGTCGCCTTTGCAACTATGTGTGCTAGGGCTCCACCTCGCTGGCTGGAAGGAACAGACTCCTGCGGACACACTTTTCCTTCATACCCTTTTTGGGAAGCCGTGCAACGGGCCCGAGGCACATGCACGTGTGTGGCTTCAGCTTGATGAATTTTACAAGACTGCTGTCCCATTCTCGCACACACTTGCCAAGTTTCCTGCACTCTTTTGGATCCTACCGGCGCCGTTCGAGACCATGGAGCCCCGCATAGAGTGGCGATACAAGCTTGAAGTGGCCCGAATCTTTTTGCGTCTCATTCAGGACGGGCAGGTTATCCAACTTGAAAGTGCTATGATCGCTTTCTTTTGGCCTGAGATTCAGTTGGATCCTTCTCTTTTAGACATTGTGAGCACAGCCAGGACTTCATCCAGCAGAAGGAATAGAATAAAGCAGTTGATTTCTGCCCTGCTCTGTCTGCAGGTCTTGTCGTTGCCTTCCTTGCATGCGCAGGCAAAGCCAATGGTGTCGAATCGACCGGGTCCAAAACGAATGCCAGCTTTCATTTTCTACCGCTACCTTGCGCTTTACCAAGCCTTGAATGCGCATGTGTGGGAAGGCCGCAAAGGTAAGGCTGCAAAGGAGAAAGTGCTTGGCATGCAGTTCTTCTCCTGCCATGATAGGAAAGGAGGCGCGTCACAAGAGGGATGCGATTTTCAAGCACAAGTGGATGCGGAAATGCAACACTTGGACGATGATGCTGAGCGCATGCAACATGCACGACTTGCAGGCAATGACAGAGGCAGTGACTTTGCGGTATCCCAGGCAGCACCAGAAACTCCCGCGGCAATTGAAGCAACCGCAGCTAAAGAGGAGCCAGTTGATGCTGAAGACGGCCTTCACCATGAAGTCCTTGTGGAAGATGCTTCTGAGGCTACCTGGAGGATATTGCGAAAGCGGCGCCTGTTGCCTGCCTGTTGCCTGGTGCTTTAACTTCGGAGGAAGATTTTGGCAACTTGTTTGAAACTTTAGGCGCTGTCAATGTCCAGTTTCAAGCTGAGCCTGGCGAAGGCATCGAAAACCCAGACACAATTTTGCACATTGTGCAAAGCCATGAGACTGAAATCAGGAGACGGCACCCTAGATTCTCTAGGCACATGGTGCGATTGTCCACCGCTGCTGCGGCAATCTTCTGCATGAGGACAGCTGACATTTCCATGCGGGAACATGCGTTGATGCTGTGGATTCTGGAAGGAACTGACTTCTTGAGGTTCCACGAAGGTGATTGCTATATGTTGCATCCCTCTGGGGCCTTTCAAAGATACAGAGGTGTGCCTCCAGATTCCAGCCGGGTTCACAATATCTTGCTTCAGCTAGAAGGCTTGTTCCGACGACTCCCAGAAGATTTGCCACGGGAACGGCTTCCACTACTGCAGGCTATCAGAAGACAGTGGGAAGATGCAGGTGAAAGTGACGAAACTTTTGCACAGCGATGCATCAGGGCAGCTGTGAGTAATGTGGGCGAGAATTTAATCAAGCATCGAGGTGGAGAGGACGAACTTGATGTTGATTCTGATGTCAAACACTGGCGTTTCCATGTAGCACGAGTGGTCCTACAGCTAAAGGTGCGCTTAGCTCGGGAACTTACCGAGGACAAGTTGCTGCACTACATGGTTGAATGGTGCGAGACACCAAAAAAGAGCGCCCCTGCCTGCTGTTTCGAAGACTGCTGCGTTGAGTACAGGAATGATGGCGTTGCTCGTCAGGTAGCCCGTGCAGAAATTGCCGATGTATATGTTCGAATTCCTCACCAGCTGAAGGGCTCAGTGCCTCCGGACATCTTGGAGCGAGTGCAGAAGTTCTACCGGCAGACTTTCTGGTGTAATGTCGCGGCATTCAAATGCTGTCAGGCAGCGCAAGCCTTAGCCAAGCGTGGTCACAACGTTACTCGCATCTTCATTGGCTTGTCTTCCGGTGGCGTTGGCCAATCTCTTTTTTCCGCCCACCTCCAGGCAGGGTTGTACGTTGTTTGGTTGCCTCGACATGCTTTAAAACTGCTAGAACCATGATGTGATTTTGATTTGCCAGGCGATGTATGGGAACAACTTTGCTTACTTTGATCCCAACATCTGGTGGAATGAAGATGAGATGCGGAAGCAGGTCGAGCAACTCAATGGGTGCTTTGTCCTGACAGGCTGTAGTTGCGTAAAAAGTTGACATGTTCAAATTGCAAGTGACCTGATGTAGAAAGCCATGTTTTTTGGGTTACTTTAACATGTGCTTGAACAACTCTGCATGTCCCCCGAAGGACAAGAGACGCCGGGCACAAACAAGCGCCTCCGCGAGGATCTGTATAAAAAGTTCATGAGCGCGGAAGGTATATCAGGACGTAAGCCCTATGGCCTGCGGACGCGCATGATTGAGACTCGCGGGTGGAAAAGGCTGGAGGCAAACCGGATGTTTCAATTTCAGCAAGTGAGCAAAAAGGACTTTAATGCCATTCTCCGCCGGTCCTTCGTTTGGCGCGCTGTAGCCCGCTTCGAAGACCCTCGGGCAGTCGAAGGGGCTTATGAAGACATGTGGCGTGATGGAGTTTTCCCCAAAGATCCTGACCTGAAGCAGTTTCTGGTGTCAGGCCCTGCCATCTTGGCGGCCCTTCAGATTCAAAACGCGTTCGAAATGAGATTTAGTAAAGAGGACTGCGAGCGTTTGATCGAGGATTATGCTTACTGGGGAGGGGACAGAGGCCTCACAGAGGACACTATGAGGGAAGCTTGCGGCATGCCCCCACGGGACGTCCGGCACGTTACCACCCAGGCCGCCTGTGTAATTGTGGTTGACAACGAGCCAGGCGATGCAGAAGACCCCGAGTTAATGTGGACCAAGGTTGCGGAGAGCCTCATGAACAATCTCTTCACAGCAAGAAGGTTGGATATTACCAAGCCCATGCTTTTGAGAAGTAAACTCAAAGATGTTCCGAATGTGAACAAGGAGCAGCTCGTCACCAGCATGCTGGCAAACAAAAGGCTGATACAATCGTTCTCACGGGGCAAGACTGAGGATGTCTTCACCATCGGTCTTACCACCAAAGTTAAGCTAGACACTTTGGTTCCTTACATGGACAGAACCAGTTGCCCCGTGTTGACTGAGAGGCTTGCTATTTCAGCTTTTGCACGCTATGTCAACAGTCCTGGCAGATCTGACAATGCTGAGACATTGGCCTCCATCTTCAAAAACATGTCCGCAAAGGTGGGCAGACGCGGGCGCCCGACCTCAAGCGCCAAAGTTTTAAAGGATAAGTATGAAGAAAAAGCTTCCAAAATCCTGTCCCATGAAAAAGATTGTCAGTCATTGCTCAAGAAGATGTCGGATGAAAGACATCCAGCGGCTTCGCAGAAAAGCCCCGCAAAAAAAAGGCTTCGCGCAAAGGCGCCCGAAGTTGAACTGAAGGAGGAACCTGTAGTCAAGCAGGAGGTTTTTGATGCGGAGAATAACCAGATGACAGTTTCCCCAACGACCTATGCATACCCTGACACAACAATTTTGCGCACGCGCAAGATGGTACAAGGCTTAGGCGCACAAAAGTTCACAAGGAGAGCCCAGCAGCATCTTCTGTCACACACACACGACCTAGACATTCACAACTCCGTTTTTACAGTGATCAGTCAGCTACTGGACAAGCTTCAGATAGCCCCTGCCTTACCCCAAGATATCCGGTCTGCTTTGGATCGTTGCGTCTCTGATCGTGACAAAGTGTGCAGTGGTGAGCTACAGACCAGCCGCGAGGAAGGAAAACAAATCTTGACAGCAGTCCTGTATGGCGGAGCTATCCCACAGCGTTTTGCAGGCAATGAGTTTCTGATTCGGCTAAGCAAGGTGTCCCTTTACATGCGGTGGCTGGCTATATCACTGCTTGAAGATGAGTTCCACAGATTCCGTTCTGTAAACGTGAACAAGAAGAACCCTGACATGTCAATTCTTTCTCATTTATACTTGGCAGCTGAAGATTACATCTTGACTGCTTGGGTGACATTCTTGGAGACTTTGAAGCCTGCTCACCTCTCATTGCACTTCGATGGTGTTCGCGTGTCGTTAGTGGGAGATTATTCTGTCACAGAGATCTGCAAAGCGTGCGAGTCTCATATTCAAGCAGCCACTGGCTTTCGGGTCCATATTCGCGAAAAGCAACATCGAACAGTTCTCCAGGCCATTGAGCAAAAGGCCCTGCAAGAGCCCAAGATGACAACCAATCAATGCCAGCTTGAAAAGCATGGGAACTGCATTCCAGCAGCCATCGCTGCCATTTTAGGGAGGCAGGCTTTTGTGGAAGAAGCTATAGCCGCAGAGTCACATGAAACCAGGCCTCATCGTTCCTATGGAGAATGCGAAGGGCTTTGCAAAGTGAAGCTGATTCCTTACCTGACTTTCGGAGAGTTGAAGGATGGAAACTACTTGTTACATTCGGAAGCTGGTGGCAACCCGCATTGTGTGGGGTTCAGCTTAGCAAGTGATGCTGATGCCTGCGTTGTGCATGACACCGATTGCGTGTACACACTTTCGAAGGATGCCCTTGATGAGGCAATACACTCGGGCGTGGATAGCTCCACATGTGTGTATTTTCGAGTGCTTGAGAGCGACGCAAATGCACAAGAGTTTGCTAATGAGGAGCTGGACGATGAGGATGTGACAGCTTTGCTGGCTTTAGAAGCTGCTGGAAGGAAGCGACCCGCCGCTGCCCTTCCAACGAAAACGCGGACGCACAACAGAACAGAAGGTCTGAAAACTCGCAAGCTTGGTGTCTTGAAGCGTCCCAGCCAACATGAGGCAGCTGCGCCTGCAGTCGATTCTGCCAATCTGATTGCTTCAATGGCTCCCACCACTCCTCCAGCACAAGCTCAATTTGCCTTGTCTGTCCATGGCTCAGACTCGGAGACGGAGCTCATACAGGTGGCATGCAGCGACACTGAGATGGAATCTAGCATTGACTTGCCTGACTGGCTACAAGAGGATGGGGTTGTTGCTGTAGATACACACCTGCTGCAAAGCTTGGCTGATGAAGTAGCTTCCCTTGCAGCTACCGCAGCTTACCAAAAGGTATCCAAAGGCTTTGCCTGTCCTTGTTGCCCATGGCGCTCCTTTCAAAGTCCCAGCCGTGTTACAGACCACTTGCGCAGGTACCACGTCAAGCGCAACCAGTACTGCTGTTCTGCGAAAAAGCAAATCAAGTGCGTCCTGTCGTTGCACGATTCTGACATGATTCGGGGCCATCAAGCCGGAAAATACTTGCAGCGCAGCGCGCAGCTTTTGAAAGAACAAGTGCGTCCACCCCTTCCGCATTCTATCAATGCGATCGACAGAAGGATACGGCTACTTCTTGATTCAGAAGGCTCGGTCGGGTGTTGACATGAAAGGTCGTGTTGATATAGTGACTCATCTTCGGTGTGGTTTCATCACCGTTTGGTTGGGGCTGCAAGTTTTCACAGCATGTGTTCCAAGAGTAAGAGAGACCTGCCAATTGCCATGCTTGCCTTTATCCAGGCCCTCGCTTTATTCGGGAAGATGCATTGGGCAACACTGTCTTTGCTCGACGTGTTGGAAACATCTTCTACACACACGCATTTGCAGAAATGATTTTTCAAGAGCTGATCTTGCACAATGCCAAGGCCAGTCAATGCTGACATGCAGTCTGATGTTTTTTTTGCTTTCGCCGCCTTGTTTCCATGTTTTGTTCTTTCGGGGAATGATAGGGAAACATATGTCATATCGGAGCTTTCCCTGTGTAGGCCAAGAGTGTTTGGCCACGATTGATGTTGGACGCAGTGCGGGCAGGTTCAAAACTTGTGAACTTGTTACCTTCACACACGGCCAGATGGTGGCCACTGGTCGAAGACGTATTCTCCTCTGAGAAATGCGTCGCCCTTCGGAACAATCTCTTGACAGCTTGTGCACGCCACAACGAGTTTCGCTCGCTCTCCATTGATGGCACATTCCGCGTCTGCTTGAGCATCCTTGGGCAAAGGCCTTTCAACTTGAGCTTGGACAAGCGAAATGACGCTGCAGTTCCCGAGGCGGAGAGCTTAAGAAGAGTCATCACGGTCCGGGGCAGGACGGGAGCCGTTGTCAGCATGTTTGCTACCTATGGTGAAGGGGCGCCAGAAATTCAAAAAGGTTTGCGGGACAGTTTACAAGAAGAATCTCTGCAGCAAGTTGAGTTCCTTGCCACAGACATGCCAACCAAGCGACTGTATGCCGCATTGAAAGAAACGTTGCCTAACCTCAAGGCGCTTGGCCTAGACCCCGTTCATTTGGCCATGCACTACGAGTCAGCTTCTGCCAGACATCGCACCCCTGGCTCGGCTATGCTGAGGCGCGGCTTGGCAAAATTCAGTGCCCAAAGCAGTCGAAGCAATGAGGAAAAGCCGTGGGGTGAATTTTTCCGTGGTGACACGGAAGTGAAGCTGACGGCACGTGAGCTCATGTGGCGCCGTCAAGTACTCGACGGTAGCATGGGCAAGCCTAAAAGCCAAAAGTGCATGGAAACGTTGGACGGTGCCACTCCATGGCAAAACCGTGCTGACTTCATTGAGTTCTTGGCTGCCCTGAGCTCAGTCTATGGCTCAGAGATGAAAAAAAATGGACAGCGGCAAAACCATTGCCGACCTCCTGCACCAAGCGGCCGCTGGAGATCGTGCCGAATGGCTATTCAACAATTTGAGGATGCGGCACCTTTTTTCCAAAGCCGAGAACATCCTGCTTCCAGTTGGCACCACCAGCAATGAAAGCTTGCATGCGGAGATCAACGGATGGTTTCGGCAGACGCAAAACCTACACCCTGCGACGCTGAAACTGAAGCTGAGCATCCTTACCCTTTCAAAGCTGCTGGCGCACAATTCTGCCCTGTATTCACCAACTGCCAGACAGATGCTCAGCAGCCATGTCTTGGCGCGTAGAATTGGTTGCGGGCTTTGGGCGCCGGAGGAATGGGTAGCATGGGCAGGAAGGAACAAAGCAGAGCTTCCCATGGAGAAAGCTCGGCAAAAAGAGGCGCAACGCCTCAAGCAATTTCGGGCCAAACGCCCTGCTGCGGCCAGAAAGCGTCCAGCTGCAAAAGGCCACAGGACCCCGTTCAACCTAACGAGGTCAATGGGCGTCCAGAGGGCTGGCGTGCACAGTCGCCCGTATCTTTCCAAAGAGAAGTAAGGGACGCGATTGGTGAGGTCAAAAAAACGTGCGTGGAGTGGAGGATTGCAGGCGTTAAATTACGCACGACTCATGCTTGGACCATGTTTCACGAAGTGATAGGTCACCAGTGCATTAGTGCGGTTGCAGCCAGTGTCGCTATGTACATCAACTGCGCAGCACCTTGGCTCAGAAACATGCCGAAATCAAACCTAGTGAAAGGTATACCAATGCGCCACAAGCATTGCATACCTATACATAGTTATAGACACTGGTGACGGCGATAACATGTTTGCCAGCAGATCTGAGCATGATAACTTTTAGGAGACCAGTCGGGCACAGGACAGAGCGCAAAGATTGAAATGAAACAGGCAGAGAAGCGTGGTTTTGAGTAGAGGCCAACAGAAGACACCTATACAAATTCTCCGCAGAAACAACCATAGCAAGCAACTGCATGCCATTCCCATGATCAATGCCCAGGCTAGGCGCCGACATGCCAGGGACTGCGTGCATCACATGCAATGTCATGTTACAACCTGGAGTGGTTAATGGGGCATAATAGATCTGCATGATGAATAACGCATCCTTTACCAGGTATAGTTTCGGCCACGTCTGGCAAAAGATGATTTCATTGAAATGTTCCCACCCTTCCTCCCGGCTCTTGTGAAGTCGCCGGCTTGTGGACGTAAGACAATCTTCTTAATGAGCAACGTTTCATAGGTAGCTTGGACCGAAAGGATGTTGAAGCCCAACCTTGCTGATCCATACTGGAAACCAAACCTGCCCCTGGTACCCGGCTTCCCGTGGAGTCCTCTGATGCTGGAGGGCCAGCCTGCACAGAACCAGACTAGATTCATATGTTGCGTATGCAGATATATTGGATGGAAAGTTAGATTTGCTATGTCCAGAAAAAGAAAACTCAATAAAATATGGCATCAAGTTGTCAGGAGAAATCGTGTGAAGAGAAAGGGAATAAGCAGAGACTGATTCAACATGGGTCGGCTGTCCCATCATCTTTGATTTGTCAAGCCTTAAGTCTCAACCTTGTCAGAATGTATCTGCACCAACCAGCTGTAGCCAGTGGGCACTGAAGCTGCCTTGAACCTAGCGGGCTGCACATATGGCAGCCAGCTGCAAGAATGCAACTGCACCAGCCAGCCATAGCCAGTCAGCACCAAAGCTGTCCTCAGCCAGCTTGCCTTCTGACACAGTGTCTCCAGCAAGACTATTCTTTAGTTGTCTCTGTAACACAGGACGTAGCAGATCAGTTGATCCGACCACTCACAAAAGGTAAGGCCCTATTGGGAGCAGCGTGTTATAGTAGCATTGAGGCTACGACTGGCACCCAGTATCTACATATACTATATATAGTTTTGAGTTTATAGTTTCTATACTATACATGTTCTCCGCCAACTTTTGGGATTGATAACAATGCGTTACAAACTATTTCGGTGATTTACAGTTCACTCGAAGCAGATGGTTCAAGATGCCAACACAACATTTCTATCTTCTATTTTTTCAAAAGACACGCTTTCAACTTCAACAGTGGTTTGAACACTATGGTAACGCTCGGTACTTATAGGTGGATAAAAACAACTAACATAGAACCAACGGCTGTTTAGTTGCAGAGTATCATTCCAAGATCAACCCCGTGGCCCAGTAGAGTTGACTTTATGCGGGACGTGCCCGAGCAACGAGAAAATGGAAAGGCGGATGCTGTGCACAAATGATAAATAAGATAGTTTTAACATGCATACCAGTTGGCAAGAAGCAGAATCGCATTATACCAATTATTCCCTGCCACGGGAGGGGGGGGGTTCAAGTGAAAAATCACTGTGTTGGACTCAGACCTGCCCCTCCCCTTGCTGAAGCAAAAGTTACTCAGCTAGCTACCGCTAGCTTTCGTGATCATATAGAATCAGATAGATAAATGACATACAGGCACCTGCTTCACCGGAGTCAGCATGGAAACAGAGAGAATGAAAAGGCCTAAATACTTAACTTGCGGAGTAAATGCGCAAAGCACAGAGATGCTCAAGGTTCCAGCTGGGGAAAGAAGGGCCAACATGGCGCAGGATATCCAAATGGCCAAGAGCGTGATTTCCTTTGTTATCAATCGTTGCCGTGCACAACTCAGTGTGGCAGTCCAGGTAAACATGTAAAATCTGACTTATGAGAACTGATTGATTTTAATGATTTTACCAATGATTTCTTGCAAAATGCAGAATCCATTAAGCGGCCGAAGTTTTTACGCCCTTGATCCAAGCGAAGATTGTGACCATGCGAAGAAGTAGTGAATCCAAAGGAAGCACAAGCGAAGCACAAACGAAGCACAAGCGAAGCATGCAAAATGCTTTTACGAAATGCTTTACAAAATGCTTTGCAAATGCTTTGCAAAAATGCTTTGCAAAATGTTTTGCAAAATGTTTTGCAAAATGCTTTGCAAAATGCTTTGCAAAATGCTTCGGAACTTTGTGTTGCCTCATTTTTTGACTAATTTGAACTCGGTGCGCCCGAGGAGTGAGACTGATACATGTGATGCGTTTTCCTTTGGAAAACGCCATCAGACACCAAGGGGACTCCTTGCTTGCTGGTCCATCTTCATGGGCAAGAGAGTGCCAAAAGCGTTGTAAGACATCAGTTGCAGGAGCAAATCTTTGGCTTCCACTGATCCCTCACCCAAGCCAGGAGGAGGCCCGGTTGACGAGGTTGCCAACTTGATCTGTTAGCTCTCGGGCGGCATCGCTCTGGATGAGATCTTGCACCTGATCTGCCACGTTTTGAACCCGGTCACTGTTGACGAAATCCATCACCCGATCACTCGCATCTTCCACGTCGAGATACTCTCCCACCGTAGAAGCCACGTCCATAACTGATTGGGCGACGTGGGCTGCCTGTGGATAATCGTTCAAGAGTTGATATCCAAGATGCATGTACTCATTGACTGTGTCAGTAGTTTGAGTGTACAAAGCCTCACGCATGTTGTCGACCGTGCTCCTTGCCCCCACCTCTGTCATCCATGAGCGACGGTCACACTCGAGCTGTTTCAACCGCAATTCACCACGAGGAGCAAAGGCATAGAGCGCAAAGCGTTGGCAATCAGTGGCTTTGCAGGAGACGTAGATTTTGAAAGGCCCCAAGGAAGGCTTCAGGTAGTGCCAGTCATGTGGCTCATCAACGTGCAGTTTGACAAGCCTCTTATCATTCGAGCCATAGACGTAGAGATATGCATCTGAATATTCCGTATCTTTGTAGTGCTTGCCGTCCTGCTTTCGCGCGTACCACTTTCTCATTTTTTCAATGTTCTGGCGGAACAGAGCGATAATGATCTGATCATAATCTGTAATGTTTGATACCGAAAGTTCATACTTAAAGGTATCTGCGCACTTCATGTCCACGTCCTTCTTTCGGAAGTATCCCTTCTTCCCTGTTGGTTGGTGAACTCCCTTCAGCCATGAACCTCCATGATTCATGGTGACTTCAAGTTTGTCACCACGCTTGAAACTGACTTCGCCGTTGTCACAGGCACGGTAGTTGTTTTTGGCAATTGCCGTGAAAGATGCGGCCTTGCCGAAGTTCCCATACTGAGCAACGCACTGCCAAGTTGGTCCAAAAGTTATATTGTACCTCACATCCCGTGAGAGTTGCACAAAGTCTTCAGCCGCCATCCAAAAGGTGCCATCATCCACCTTCGTGGTGTCCCAAAAACGATAAGCTGTCGAAATTGGAAACACCAAAAATTGGGATGGTTCTGATGCTCGAGTTTACGACTTAGAAGTGAACTAGGTTCTACGAAAATCATCTGAGCAGTGTTCAAAACCCTCATCCCATTACACGAGGTGATTGATCAGGATTCCCACTATGGGTTTCACGATCCCCGTAAATAAGTAAAATCCCATCCAAAATAATCAACCAAAAGTCGTCAACTAGCGACTGTTCATCTAACGTCTCGTTTTCAGCCGACGTTTTGACCGACCTTCTCTGCGCCCAACTTCTCTCTGGTTTCAGCAGTCCATTCCTTCGACCCGTCACTCCACGGACCCTTCCATTCCTCAGACGTTGATTAAAACAAGGATAATAAACCCATCTTTTTGGATCTCTTCAGGGATTCTTTCTGGGCCACAAATATGTACATATATACATTCCTTAAAGGTTGGGAAACAAGCTCACCACGTTATACGCTAACCTCAGCTTCAGCAGATCCGCTCACTTTTTCATCTACCTTTCTCTTGATGTCTTCCAGCCTGTATCACATACAGGATAATGCATTGGGTATTCCTACAGATCTATCAGCCCTGCTGATGGTGACATCCTGTTTCAGTCAGGTTAAGCTATGCTGGAGCCCATCCAGATATCTATTCGCACCCGTACTGGAACAGTGGCCCCTCCAATCTGTAGGTATTCACAGTGTCCTGCGCAAAGGCCCCATGTGCAGCGCAGACTTCAAGTTATAAGGGAACCCCACAGGGGACCTGAGAACAGGGTGGGTCAAAATCCCCTGATTTAGGGAGGGCAAGGAAAACAATGCTGCTATTTTGGATCAATGTTCACTTGAGCCAAAATTGGCATTCGTTTTACCTTTTTAAACCAATCACCAAGGAATGACCACTGTCCACCCAAGCCTGCCAAACACTAGACAGTCATACATTCCTTAAAGGGTGGGAAATAAGCTCACTAGGTCTTACGCTAACCTCAGCTTCAGCAGATCCGCTCACTTTTTCATCTACCTTTCTCTTGATGTCTTCCAACCTGTATCACATACAGGATAATGCATTGGGTATGCCTACAGATCTATCAGCCCTGCTGATGGCGGCATCCTGTTTCGGTGAGGTTAAGATGTGCTGGAGCCCATCCAGATATCTGTTCGCACCCAACGCACTTAGATCCCAATGCATTTATAAAAATTCGGCCGTTCTGATGATGGCCGCTGTAGGAAGACGCCAGAGAATGGCTGGAAAAGGAGCTAGCTGCGACCTATATAGTCAGCAGATCAAAGCCCTGGATTCCTTCATTAGAGATGGCCGATGGAGATGGTCCAGTGGCTGTCGGAAGGTGCCGAGGTGCCGCTTCCCGAATATCTACGTTTAGGAGACAAATTAAAAAGTGAAGGCTGCAATGCTGACTCTGAGGTAAAACTGCCACAAAGGACTCCCTGGACTCTCCAGGATCGTCCATCCAGACGTTACAGAAACCTCCAGTGCCTTGCTTTGGACACTCCGCATCTGACGCGCCAACAAACCGTAGGCAAGAGGGTGGAAAAATGAAGAATTGTCTTTTGGGTTTGTCACGAAAAATCAAAAAAGGAAAATTTTGAAAATAACCATTCAGCTTGTGTCCGGGTTTCCCTGGACATCCCAGGACTGCCCATCCAGCCGATATAGGAACTTCCGGTACCCTGCCTCGGACTCTCCTGAGCTGCACCTATGACTCGCAGTACGGAGGTGGAAAACACTCCCTGGTCGCGATCAGGTTCGTCCCGTCAGACGATATAGAACCTTCTCACGTCTTACTTTGGGCACACCAAAGCCCCCCGGAAGGCACCCAAGAAAAGGGAGACATGAATGGTCTGGCGCGTCGCAGTCTTCCCTGGTTACTCCAGGTTTGTTCATCCAGACGATATAAAACTTCCGGTGCAATTTACTGTGGATACTCCAGAGCTACACCCATCGTCTGTGAAACGTGACTAGGTGGTGGAAAAATGGAAATTGACCTCTTGCCGTTATCTCGTCCCAGGTCTCCCTGGTCAACCCCAGGTTCGTCCCTTCAGACGATCCAACACCTTCTCATGGCTTACTTTGGGCTGAGGCTGAGAGAGGGACGAAGGGACTGAAGGTGTGCTCGGGGAGCAGGGTTGTGTCGGTGGACATGGCAGAGTTGGCGAGCAAGGTGGAGTTGCTGGGCGAGAAGGTACAGGATATGGCAAGGTTGGTGGAGGTGACGATGGAGGTGCTGGTGGAAACTGATGATTGGACCAGTTGGTCTGCATCATGGATTGAGTCGGATTCATCATTCTTCCCATCATATAAGGTCCAGACTGGTTCGTTGCCCACTGAGGTCGAAACTGAGGGCGCGGCATGTTCTGAGAGTGCAAAATCGCTGAGTGCATGGGCCCACACCAGCGTGGAAAAAACGGCAGGTCAGGACGTGGTGCTTGACCTTGTCCACGAGGCTCGGTGCGGTTTGGCCCAGGCATTGGAGATCGAGACCGGTCCGAATCAGCCATGGTTGACCACACGAGGGTCACGTCGGGCCACTGAGGATGCAATAAATCTACAGACAATAAATCAGTTCAAGTTGAAGATTTGAAATGAAGCAGAATGGTACCAGGATCAAACTAGCGTAATTATCAAAGATGAAACAATGTACACCATCACAGTACAGAAAGCAGTGTCACAAGCAGAGCAAAGCAATATCTCCTGCACGTGACAAGGTTGACATGTGATTCACGTGAAGTCAAACTGAGTAGAAAACAGTCCAACGACGACAATGCTGTGCCATGTCAATGACAGATTGGGGCAACCGTGCAATTTTCTATCGAAGGCTTGTCCAGGTTCCCCTAGAAATGTAAACTACGGTTTCCGGGTAATGCCAAAAAGCTCTACTAGTACACAGCAGCTCAGTTTCCGTCCACCATTATGGCCGGTAGTCATCCCAACGTCCTGAGTGATGATCCTTAGTCCGTGCGTTGATGCTACGATCGTAGTTGCAGTCGTCCGTGGACGAGTCGTCAGCATCGATCGTCTGTGGCAGATTCTGCCATTTCAAAGCGACGAATTTCAAGCCCACATGTTTGCTGTGGGCAATCGTGTATTTCTCTGACGTTGTTGCCACTCCTTTTTCAGCCACGGAGAGCTGTGCCGTTTCATTGCCCCCAGCTTTGAAGGCAGTATGTTGGCATGCACCTCGGTACATCGCCCCAAAGATGACGTCTTGTTGTCCTTTCCCTTTCTTTTGGGTGGTATCCATAAGTCCATAAGTTCCTTGGCCGCACAATCAGGAAAGATGTCGCTATTGGAGACTTCTCTGCCGAGGTAAAAAGCTCCAAAGGTGGGCAAATCAGATCTGGAATAGTTTTTGTTATAGGACCAGTTGGCTGGTCCGATCTTACCTTCAAGCAGAATTGCCTATGAGGTTCCGATCGTCGTCCCGAGAAGCGCCCAGGTGTGGTTTTGGTGAGTTTTGAAGGGGGGTGGCATTTGGAAGCGACTGGAATCTGGAAGTGGAAGGATGAGTGCAAGCATGTTGGTGGAAGGTAGATGGATGATGTAAGGCTTCTCCAAATCAAACCCAGGGAGAAGATTTGTGCTGGACAGGAGGTGGACTGCTTTCCTGGCAATCTCAGCTGGAATTCGAGAGTCCACCTTTTGTAATGTTGCAACAGCACGGTTGAACTCCGTGATCTCCACTGTCTTTGTTGGTCGTGGTTTCATGTCAGTTGGAACTTCTGACGCTGCTGGCATACGCTCTGGGCGGTGCAGGCCGAACTTGACTCCTCGGATCCATTCCTCTTTGGATCCTTCCTGTAGGTTGATGAGCATATGTCCTGAAGGGACATTGACTGAGGCCGTGGAGCGGTCGTCCCCAGAAGGGGGCAGGTTTCTTCTGCTTGTGACGTGGTGGAGCGGTATGGGTGGAGGAAAATGCCGTGAGTGGTTTGGTGGCAGAATCATGTGGAGTGCCGTGGTGAGGAGAGGGTTGTGTGTAGTCAATCCATTTGGATTGATGTGATGAAGCTGGGTTTTTTGAGTAATCCTTCCACATTCCCCATGACTGCCACTGGTCGTTGGATGACTGTTCTTGGTAGAAGGATCGGTCCTGAGTGACAGTGTAGGTGGTGTCTTGTTGATTTTTCCACCAAGGTGCAGCTTGGAGGGTTGGCATTGTGGAAGGGTATTCGTGTAGTTGACGGTGCTGTTCGGTCGTATCTCGGGCTTCTCGATGTTGTGGAGATGCTGATCGAAGAGTGATTGAACGTACTCGATCTCGTCGTCGGGACTCCTGTCGGCGAGTGGAAACATCTCTGGAAGCAGATCGAGGTCGCGATGAGCGCCTTTGGCGTCCAGTTGAACGTCGACGACGGGGACTGCGGTGGACGGAGATTGGACGTTTGTCATGTCTTCGAGATGAAGAGCGATGACGGTGGGAGCGAGATCTGCGAGAGGAACGTTGTTGAGGTGGTGGATGTTCGGACGGTGGTGGAGGATGACTGAGAGGGGGTAGAGGCATAGTGACTGGTGGAGTGGGTGTTGGAATGAAGTGGGCTTGGCGCTCTTGGGTCTTTTCCGCCATTGCTTGAAGACTGGATTCAACTGTATTCTTCATCTGTTCAATCATTGAGGGATGTAGTAGTTCCAAATTGCGTGGCTGGATTGGCCACTGGTGCCGGTGGATCCGGTGCTTGAGGTGCTGAAGGCTGTGGTGTGAATTGGAATAACACGGATGGAGGTTGAACAGCTTGTGGAGGTTGGTGGAATGGAAGGAGTTGTTGGAGATGTTGGATATGGGATTGAGCCTGTGAGTGGAGGTGTTGATTCAGCATCGCGTTCTGTTGTTGAAGAGCTGAGATCTGCGCCTGAGTCTGAGCTTGAGACTGCTGATTCATGCGGTCACCTCCACAAAATTGGCCAGGAAATCCCATAGATTGAGGATTCCATCCAAAGTTCCACATCGATTCAGGGCCGTTAGGAAAGCGGCCCGGGAACATGGCACAAATGTCAGGTGAAGTAAAGTAAAACAACGTTAAACATCACATGAAACATCCACATCCAATGCAAGATTCGTGATCAGGCTCAAGGCCCGCGGTATTCCAGTCAACCCCATAGACAGCTTACGTTGTCAACCCCTGAATTACGTGAAAAAATGAACCTCACCAACGACCAAAAAAGAAGAGTCACCATACCTGCAAGCATGGCCTGTGCCTGGAATCCTCATGTTGCAATTGTCAGCAGCTAAAATTGCTCGAGCAATATTGAAAAAGGAGGTTGTTGTCGCAACTTCCAGCTATGCAAGGAGAAGTCTCAAAAGCGGTGAGGCCAGTCACAGCGGCAAGCTGTTTAACCCAAATACAAACGACTGGTGAAACCCTGAAATAAGGCCAGCTGTGTCACTTTACTTAAACGAATTACTAATTCAAAAATGTAAATTCAGACATCAGGTCGTTGCATCCACACTTTGCTTAGACAAGCATTCCCCGAGGGGTTCATGCCACCTTGACGAATCCAGCATGAATCACACACTTGCTCAGAAACATCTTTGCGAATTCTGATGTGGAATGCATCGTACGTGCAAAAACACTTCAGTTAAACCTGACAGGACACGGTTGATGACTAGAGTCGAGAAACAGTCGGAAAGAATCCATTCAACGGCTTTGCTAGAAGCAACTCTTCCATCTAAACCAAATCGTGGTCTTCCATTTGTTCGGCACGGTGGTTTTTGGGTTGGCCACTTCCCATTGCTGAAAATTGAAATGGTAAAGCAGGTACACCAGGGTGATCAGCCCCGGCTTCCACCATCATGCATAGCTTCGTTGGCATGCGTTTGCATGATGGCCGCATGCCCCTTGCTTGAAAAAACATGAAATAATGCCGACAAAAACCAGGAAGGTAAACTCAGAATTAGAAGTTTTACATCTGTTCAGATGTTTCACACACACAAACACACACTTGTCCTTATTCCAAGTGTTCTCAACAGGGAAGTTTCTCTTCCTCCGAGAGTGGGCAGAAGATTTCAGAAGTATAGAGGGAACGTCAAGTAGCCCCTGAAGTCCAAGTTTTTCAACGCATAACATTTTGCCGGTTTTGCCTTGTAGGGCTGTCCATCCTTGCTGTATCTAGATGATGGTAACAACGCGCCAAACGTTGAACCATTAAGTTACATATGGCTACGGGTCAAAACCCTCCCTTTCTCCCTTTCGTCTGAAGCATCTGCTGAGAGATCGCAGACGGGTGCTCGACCTGTGAGACCTAGCTCCGCGTGAGTGCGGAACTAGATAGGAGCCGACAGCCCATGACTTACACACCCCGAAGGGAGCTGAAAGATGTTGCCCTCAGCCAACTTCCGTGCCGCAGGCCACGGCCAAACGTTATCAGGCAGCCACAGCATGTAACCGGGCAAGGCATGCCATCCACTAAGTTTACACAAGACTTCTAAACACGGCAATCCCAAAACATGGTGGAAACTGAATTGTTTGGGAGCAGGTTTTTGAAACAGCGGCTCCCAATGCATGCAGTAAGAAATCCAGCTGAGCGCTGGCAAGATCCATGCTCACCCAACGTCTTCTTTGCATCGAATTTGTGCCGCTCCGCATTTGGCAGAGCGAGCCGGACCTTTGAAAATAGCCTGGGGAAAACACATCTAAGGTGCGACCCGGGGCTCGAGCAGCGTGGTCAGGGCAGATGCCTGTCATCCAGGAAAACTTTTGAGTGGGCATTGAAGGTTTGTTGTCAACAGGTCCGTGGCTTCTTGCACCAAACATATCACTGTAGGACAAAGGGTAAAGCTGTTTGCCCAGCACTGACGCTGAAGCAACATCCTTGGCCCCGAGCGAAGTGAACCAGGAGTGATCTCGCCGAAGTTTGCCCTTTGCTTGGTGGCCACGGTAGTCATCTGCCCACGTAGTGGAAGATGGCTGCATCCCGCCAAAACCCGTGTTTGCATCCAGCAGTGTTGCCGGAATATCCTGTATGATAAGTTTTTTCAATTCCATCCGCCTGCTTCCTTTGTTGCAAAGGAACACACATGGAGAGGAAACCCAACAGGGAAGCGGCGGTAGTAATCCCAAAAGTCTCTCACAGGGAGAACATCGCTGTAACCCACTCGCCAGCGAGGGCATGCGGCTCTAGAACGAAACAACCATGGTGAACATACGGTCAAGGATCGGTTGAAACAGCCGCACCCGCTGGAAGGACTTGACCCACACGGCTATGGGTCAAAACCGTAGCACCCCATCCTCCAAATAGCTTGGATTTATGGATGCGAAAAACGCCAAATATGGTATCAATTGTTTTTAATCCATCCCCATATCGCCTCATCAGTGACCTTAGTCTAGCAAAAGCAGAGCCATTCACCCCACCTCAAATACACAGCTTGCACTGGCGAAGTATCGGAAGGTTCCCTTCATTGTTGAAAAATCAGCAATGAACGTGTGTTTTGGCGTTTAATTATATACTGTAGATCGAATATGTTGGTGTGTGTGTGTGTGCGTGTGTGTGATTCATGTGTAGCCATACCTTGCAAGTAGCTTCCAAACCTGCTCCCAGCCTGTTGCAGTAGCAGCTAGCCAACAAGAAATGCGATTCCAAATTCAAATCTACTTTTGTTCGCTATGAGCAAGGGTGGTGATCAAAAAATCACCTTGACGTAGTAGGTGCGAAAAACACAGCTTTAAGCTGGGTTTCGCCACGCGCCCACGGATTGCGCATACAAAACAAATAGTGCCCATCCACCATGCCTGTGCGCAAAAATGAATAGCAGTGATGATCATGAAGTCCATATGCGAGACCTTCTTCGCCACACTGGCCATCTTCTCCAGACATATGTGCATACTTGCCCTTGCTGGGTCGGGTGAAGGCATTAGTCATAATCTCACCATCTTCAAGAGCCCCATTGACCCTCTTCCAAAATCTCTTGGCTTCTGAGACATCGGGTGTGCTGTACTTTGCCCACACACCACCCAGGAAGGAGAAAATGGCATCTCCGCCGTGACCACCATCACACATCTCAAGGCAAGTCATGTGTTTGAAGTAGGCCTTTTCAAGAATTGACACCCAAAGCTCCTTTCGACTCTCGCTACTTCGTGCATATTTGATGCTCGAACTACTGCGCACTGCCAGGTAGTCGTCAATGATTACGTAGGTGAAATGCATCTCCTCACAGAACATCACGCCATAGACGCCCACCTCCATGTCATATGCCACCAAAGCTTGCCGGAGGAAAGACTTCCGTGCGCTAGCAATTGCTGCGAGGGCTGCAACAAAGAAACAATCCCCGATGGAGCCCTGCTTAACATCTGAGAACGCAGCAGCATCCTTCACGACGCATGGATGACTCATGTTGGCATTCCTTTTCCACGACGCAGGCTTTCCGACCGTACAATCATAGCCAGGCTTTTCCTTGTCCACGTACAGCACCTCTGGTCAGGGTTGGGCCATTCCCAGGTCCAATTAGCTCCAACACCGACCCAGCTTGGATGATATGATTTACGATGATCACCCCACTCAGGTGTTGAGATGTCGTTGTTGCTCGTTACTGTCCACCATTTTACCCTTGGCATCCCTTGGCCTTGCCTTTTCTTCATCTTCCAGAGGGTTGAAGTCAGGGTCTGTATATTTCTTCCCTTGGGACTTGCAATCGTCGATGATCTCTTGAACCTCACGTTGGCAATGCTCGCGGGCCCTCTGCCATGATGCCACGGCGCTCAAAGATTCTGAGGACTGCCAGGTCTTCAGGACAGCCTGCGGTGAGAACTGTGGGACGCAGGGCGAGCTTACTCATGACGCTGGGGTCTAGTGTGGTGCCTTCCAGACTTTTTGATGAAATGTCCATCACATGAAAAATCACGAGTCACGAGGGTCACGAGCTTAAAAGAAATGTCGGAACAAGGTCCCTGCTAATCGTCGAAACATTACCTTTGCTGTTGCAGTTAAATTTTCTCAACATAGCAACTTCAATTGTCCATTTATTCGGCAGCGATCCTGGTATGTGGCACAACTCATCGCTGCGGCCGAGGGGCCTCCACCAAATCTTCATCACTCATATCATAATGCGTTCGTTTGGGACCAGGCGATGGCGTGATTGCTCAAGTAGCCTCTGAATTGCAGGGCATCGTGATAAGCAAGGAAGGAGACGTGGAACCCGGTGTTGGCGGTCACGAAGATATACTCGGCCTGGTTGGGATCGAGCGAATTGGTCTTGATGCCGTTGCTCCACACGAAGTTGTAGTAGTGGGAGGCTTGGCATGACTTCTGTCCACATCGCATAGGCTGGTGCAGGACAGTCTCGGGACCTTCGAGTCTATAAACTGTTGCCGTAGAGAACTGTTTGCGCTTGGGATATAGACAAGATCCACACAGAGCACAATTCTTGAGGGGTGTTCGCACGGACTTCACTGTGGAGGATCCATCCGCACGGCCACGACCTTGCAAGTGATATGCCTCTGACATCGACATTTCCGTCTTCAAGTGCATCTGTTTCAGTTCGAAGAAAGTCAATGCATCAGATTTTTCCAAAGCAGATGCAAAGGTTTCCCATCGAGCAGTCACTTCGAAAGAAGGAATCTCAGAATCAAATAGCCTTGCCTCATCCTCAATCATCACAAAGGACCACCAGTGTCCTTGACATTCTCCAGAACGTTCATGACAAAGGATCGGGTGCGCTGGGACAACGGAGAGCAACTCATCCTTGGAGATGCAATGCAATTGCCAAGCAGTGTCGGCTGCAGAGTCTGCATCTGCCAAAGCTTCATTGAATTGATGAGCGGAAAGCGAGGACTCTGGCTTGTCTTGCAAAACTTGGCGCGAACTACTGAGATCAACATGAGGTGCAACACCTTGAACAGCAAAGAGCAAACAGTTTGCCGGAGTGGAAGGAATTTCGACTTCCATCATGTTCACGATGTTCTTGCACACCAACATATGCAAGAAAGTCTTCATAATACTTTGCGGCTCGCTTTTGATCTCGACGGGGATGATGTTGTGGGAAGTTTCTGCGCAAGCACGATGCAACCAAAAGAGATCTTGCACAGATGTGCACGACACAATGCCTCCGTCAAAGAGAGCAACCTCCATTTTCACATGCGCATGGGTCCGAATGGTGTCCAATAGGTCAGCTTCATCGAATGATAGCAAAGAACAAAGCCGACTGAATTCAGGATGTCTGCGATCATTGTACAAATCAGAAAGATGAGTATGTCTGTGATCTTGTAGAATCAGATGAGCAGCTGCCTGAACTTCTTCCCCAAGCTTGCGGAGCCATGGAATATCGACTGAGAGCGTCCCTTTCTGTTGCTTTTTGGGTCTCCATTCCGGGCATGGTTTTAACGGAAATTCAGCTCCTCAGTCACCGCATCAAAGCTGGCCACCGCCGCTGCGCGGGGTACACCCACGGTCAGCATGGCAGTTGCCCATTCCGCTTTGGAGACCTGAGAATATGCAGGGTCAGTGGGGATGGGGCTGTTATAGAGATATGCTGGAGAATGTTTGTGAACAAAATTATAATATCATGTATATATATATATATGTATATATATATGTATATATATATACATATATATATATACATATATATATATATAAATGATGTTTGTGTCAGAACCGAGGGGTCCCATTGATCCCATGCAGATCGCAGACCATCCCTGCCTCGGTATCTCCGTCAATGTCTTTGGCAGCCTCTGACTTGCTCGCCTTCGGAGGCCTGAACAGCCACCCCGGGAAAGGTTTCAATTTGGGAACTGTGTGATGGATAAGTCCTGGATAAACAATATAAACGAATCAGAATTTCAGGCCTGTCCATCGGCGGCGGACCCTTCATTTTACCCATGTCATCTTCATCCGCTTCATCCGCATGGTAGTGGCGTTCTTCTTCCTGACCCGCGAAACCGAGGAAGGCATCCAAACCGAAACCATCAGCCAAGACCATCTTGGCACCTCCGCTCGCATCTGAGAAAACATAGTCGATAAACTCACCTTGCACACTGGACAGATTTAACCAGTTGCGGTCATTGCTGTTTAAACATGTTTAAACATTGGTTGTCACCCAAACTTGTTCCAAGGTTCCAAACAAAAACGACTCACCCAGGCATTTACCGTGATGATCCACCGAAAATATGCGTTAAAAATATTAGCTGCAGTCAGTCACTGACTGTCAGCTTTCCATTCTCATCTTGGTCCAGGGCTTGGAACAGCTGCTTACACTCCTCAGGTGCCAAACCACCTCCACTACCTCCCAACTTTCCAAGAACATGTAGAAACTCCTCTTCCGAGAGTTTCCCATCTCCATTCGCATCAAAGCGCTTGAAAGCTAACTTCAGTTGATTTGATCCATCTGCATCGAAGTTCAAAGCCTGCGCGGCCCAAAGTTAAGCTGAAAATCAAAAATGAACATGTGACATCTCCTGTGACAGAAAACCGGGGGGCTGCCAAGTAACGTTCTCTTCCTCTTATTTCTGATACAAGCTGTTTATTGAGACAACAACATAATCATGTTCCTCCTACCCTTTTGACCAACCCCTGCCTGCAGGGCAATCGGCTTCATTGACCACCTACCCTTGGGCCAATTTACATAGAGCCTGTCGCCAGAGTCTTCACCATACCTGATGCCCATGACTATGCCAATGCTGCTTTCCGGGATATCATCGTCCGATTTGGTCCACTGCACACGATCTCCTTTCTGAAATCGGCACTTCTGAATCTCGTTGATCTTCATACTCCAGTGTCCTGGACTTTGTGCAAAATATTTCAGCAGGGCCTAGGGCCTATGGTTGCCAAGAGATTCAGTCCCACTTTCGAAACCTGTTATAAATTTTGCCAGGTTGTAAGGGATGCCAAAGTGACCCTATTCCGGGCCAAAAAAAATAATGAAAACACGCAGCCCCTATCTCGATGGCTCTTCAGCACACAGTCCTTTGGGCCATTGAATTGAAAGTTTACGATCATCTAAGCGAATGACTTCGCCAATGTCTCCCCGCGGGATATCTTCATCGGACTGAGTCCACAGCACCAAATTTCCTGCGCAGAGCTAGCGCAAGCCGGCACAGGTGGGGAATTCTCTGTACAGATGCAGGGCTAAAATAACAAATGATAATAATTATAATGGCGATGTGCGTAAGCAACACTAGATGTATTATACATAATACCAACAAACATGTATATATAGGAATAGGAATAGCTATAGTAAGTGTAATTGTATGTACAAGTGATAGTGACAATGTATATAACAACCATGGCACTACTTTTGAGCATTTTCGAACCACCCAGTCCTGGTTGGATCCGGCAAAGACTCAAGTCATTGGCCTTAAACTTCCATTGACCTTTGGGAAACTGAACTCGCAATCGACCCTCGGAGACTTTGATTCCGACCACTTGTCCCAGGTCTCCTTTTTTCACGTCTTCGTCGATTTTCTGCCATCTCACAAAGGCTCCCAACTGCAACTCGTATAAAATCAAGGACTCTGCCCAGAAGTTCCAGGTTCCTTTGGAAAAGGCCACCTCCAGTTTGCCAGAGTCACTGATGTCTCCTTGAAGGAAGACACCAATATGGAACGTGACACAAATACACAAAAGGGATGCTCCCCCCGAAATCTAACCTGGGCAACCTGAGTGATAAAAAAAATGATTCCATGTTCGTTACGTTGTCTTCACCAGGATGTTTCTCTGACAGATTCCATGCTAGTACACGCCTGATATTACGCTTCCAGAGTTTGAGTCGAAAATAAGGGATCCCAAATTTGTTTTCTTTCCAATGGTTTCCTCTCCTCACAAAACCCAAACGGCGGGTTCCATGTCAGTCCTGCGACCTTCCTGCAAGAACAAACCATGACTTAAACAAAATTACACCGGCAAGAGACCCCAAACAGTGTGGGGGGGTAGGAAGTCAATGTACTAGATACAAACAAGAATAACTATGAAATAGTAACAGAGGAGGTTAGACATTATCCTAACTGCAGCAGGAACTTGGTTTCAAAACAAGAAGCAACGCTATGTCTACTCATCAGGACCTCATACCAGAACCTCATACCAGGACCCCTAAGAAAATTTCAAAAGATCGTCAAAGAATGACCTTCTATATAGACGATCTCGCAGGATCTTAATACAATAATTTCCTATGAGCATCTCAATCAAGCTTTCATACAAGTTTTTTTGCAGAGCATCTTCAAGATCTTAACTCAAGGACCTCCTTTGGAGGATTGCAACAGGATCGCCATAAGATATTATTTCAAGGACCTGTACATGATCATGCAGGGACCTTCTAGAGGATTTCGCCAAGACCTCTACAAGATCTTCCCACACGGAATTGTAACAGACCTTGCCCAAGATCTTCATACCCGGACCCCTATAAGAGAATCCCGCAAGAGCGTCACAAAAGGACCTGCTGCTGCTGGAGAGGATCTTACAAGAACGAACTTGATACAAGAACCTCCCAAGAGCATCCAAGAAGAGCTTTCATGCAAGCACCTTTAAGACGTCTGCAAGATCTTCATTGAAGGAGCTTCAAGGAACGCATTAAAAGGATCTGACCCGGATCTCCACAAGATCTTCTGACAAGGTACAAGATCACCCACAATGCAAGGACCTCTGACAGGATTTCAGTAAGATCTTCACATTCTCACAAGAACCTCTACAAGACCTCGGTGAAGGTCTTGACGGACTACGGACCTCTAAGACTGCACCATGAAACTCTTGCAACAGTCGTCACAGGCGGACCTTCCAGAGAATTCAGAAGATCTACCGCGAGGGCGATCCAACACGCACAAAGTGCCGAGACGGTTGCACGAGCGATATCAAAAGTCGCACCGCACCACAACGAGAGCGATCTGACAGACACAAAGTGAGGAGAGGGTTGCGGGTTTCAGCCGCTTTTGCATCGAGGTCTACAAAGTACTGCGCTTGCCACGAAAGATGAAGCCGGCCATGCACTTTGCCTGCTCAGTCGAAAAGCGCAGGGACATCTCCGAAGAAGCCGTCTATGCGAGAATTTACAATGAAAATGCCGCAGACCAAAACCAGGGACAACCCCGCGGAGCCTGCGCAGTCGAAATGCACATGGACATCTCACAAGGTAACTTTTATGCAAAAATGCCGCGCCCCAGATGGAGCACCCTCATCTCACCCCGGCTCTTTAGCTCCATAAGAACCTCTCAGTGTGGACACACTGTTTGGGGAATGTTGACAGAAGAGTTCTGGAGTTTCAAATTATCTTTGCCTCGACCTGTCTAGCCCCCTCTCGTCTTGGATTTCCCAAGGCTCCATGCATGCCGAGGGCCCTTCATGGCCGTTGCTTTGAGCATGAAACTTTCGTGAGAAAAGATTTAGAATGCAGTTTTGTTCTTTGTTAGTCTTCAAATCAAGGTTAAGAATCAAATGAATTAAGTATGTGCAATATGGCCTTTTCCAAGTTCCATGTCAGCTGGTCCAAGGTGCAGTCAAATTCCATCCCAGGGAGAAGAGAAGCTCCACCTTTAAAAAGTATTGAAAGGTCTTTTTTTGTGTGTACTGTAGGTAGGCTTCAAGGCGGTATCATTTCCAATCATTCCCCCTTGCTAACCATCAGGATGCAAGAAAAGGAGGCCATCCACAACCCTCTCCTGTAGCCTCTCCAATCTCCCCCTCTCCGACATCATCATCTGAATTAGTCCATTGTACATATGAACCTGGCTGCACATGGCTCTTAACCAAATCCTTTGGCCTGAAACGCCAACATCCGTTGGGAAACTTTATCTTCACCTTGCCTTTCTCGTTCAAGTCATCGAGCACTTGACCCACATGGCCAGCAGGAATGTCGTCGTCTGACTTTTTCCACATGACAAACATACCAATCTGACAGTCGCATTTGAAGAGGTACTTGGGCTTCACTTCCTTTTCCTCCCCTTCAATTTCTATCAACAACTTCCCATTCTCACCGGTAGTGCCCTTCACTTGTCCCATGGTGTCACCCGCAAGGCCATCATCAGTCAAATGGATGAATGTGCCCTTCTGGAAGTCCGACACATTGAGCTTGCTGACAGGTACGTGAATCTTGCGCTTGGGAAATTCAACGACACAGTCGTTACCATCCATGTCATGGACCTCCCCAATGGCGCCACGTGGGACATCCTCATCCTGGTCCATCCAATAGACAAGGGTTCCTGCCTTTATCGAATCCACATGATCATCAGGTAACTCCGGCATGGCGATGATCACAGAGTGGCAGTGGTGATGTGATGCGATGTGACGCGATGTGATGCGGCGTGATGTGTCATGCGTGACGCTTTCTGCTGTGCAACTGATGCTGTTGGATGTTTACAGCACATGGTTCTAGGAAAAGTTGGGTCAGCCTTCCAAAGAGAACCGTGGGAGCATCCACGGTCTTGAAACGAATGCCCAGTGCGATGGCAGTGACAGCAGAGTCCAAGCTCAAGAATTTGACATAGATTTGCCACAAGGTCATTCGAGACTCCGCTTTCTGATTCCAAAATATGTGTGCACTTCCCCATTCCATGGATGATCTGACTGTCTCTTGCCGTGCGGAAGCAATTTCAAGTTCCAGCACGAAAGTCTGCATGGTATCCCATGGCAAGAATGATTCGCGACTTGGATTCATGTGGGTCACTGTTTCACGGAATGATAAGAAATTCCACAATCTTGAGTACAGGAGCGGATGAAAATCCTTAGGGACGGTCTCCTCTTGATATTTTGCCTCCATCAGTTCACATAGGGCAGGCCAAAACCTCGCGCACCTGTTTTACCTTGATTGCGCTTGCTGCACTCACATGCGAGCTGTGCCTCTACAAGGAATGACCAGCAACCCGGAGTTTGCAGGATAACCAACTGTTCAAAGAATAGCTGCGTTCTCAGTCTTCAATGGACAAACACATTGATGAAAGCAATAGAATCGTATGAGGCCCAGAAACGTACCCAATCAGCAACTCTACCAAACCGCATGGTCATGAAATGTCATGCATTCGTGTCTCAAAGCAGCATCAAGAAAAAATCGTTTCATGTTATGCCAACTGCAAATTAGTCATGCTTTCCGTTCCAGCAATTCCAGCATCCGTTTCGCCTGAAACGACATCGATGAACGCAACGCAAAAGGCGCCAAACTCGGAGGCCACGTTCGAAACGCCGTTTGAAACGCACAGTGGACACGGTGACCTGCCCAGCTCCAAGATCCAAGCCCCAAACCATAGCGTTGATGGATGCCACTCGCGGTCCTTGTCGAAGGGAAAGCACCTGGAAAACCACAATAGGCTAATTATAGGTGATTCGAAGTTGAGAAGGTCAGCTGGAAGATTCATCCAAACACCGGCTAAATCAGACTGCAAAGATGTGCTCAATCACCCAAACAGTGTTCTGCAGCTCATTGTCGTTGCAGCAATGTTGTAGGCAATCAGGACTACAAGGCTCGGAGATTGGTATCTTTGGTGGTTTTGGTGGTCTTGCTCGCTAGGAAGATCTAAGGTTTCGGCTCCAGCTGTCAAAAAGCCACAGAAAGCGGCATCCACTGAAGAACGTGCGCCTTCAATCACCAAACTGCGGAGGCAAGAACCATCTGATAGCTCTTGGAACATGTCGATCTGACTTCAAAAAGTTCAGAAGAATTCTTTCGCAGGGTCAATAGAACCCAGGTCGATGACAACGTGACAAGTTATAACAGTTATGCAAAGGTTGAGAGAGTGATGACTCCGAGTTGGCTCAACGAAACCTCAACACTGCAACGGCATGGCCACGGATACCTCAATAATTGCTTATGAGATTGGCACCACCAACAAGGAGGGGCTAAAGCAAAACGAATGTCAAGCACTCTGCTGTACCGCATCAAGTATTCATAAGTATTCCATCTCTTTCTACCCAGCATGGCTTTTGACCATTGGCCTTGTGGATCTAAATGCCGCTGGGAAACCTGAAAAATTCAGCAAGCTCCAGCATCAATTAGCGTCAATTTCAGCCCAAAGCCACTCAGATCAAGTCTAAGTCCCCCACGGCACAATCGAAGCTATGAAAGAGACCTGACCTGATCTGATCTTCCAGGGGTACGCTGAGGCATAGTGACTATAGCGCCTTCCACCAGTCACAAGTCACCCAACTAAGCATCCGACCACATGGCAAAGGTGCTCCCAAGTACTGGTGCCCGGGTTTGCGCCTAGCAACAAGCAGCCATTGTACAAGCAACACATAGAACATACCTAGGCTTTAGGTAATTTTAGGTATTTTTAGGTAATCCTTATTTTAGATCTTTCTTAGGTGTATCCCGAGATACCAAGCCACCACTCTCCTTGGGGAGTTTCATGGTTTACATGTAAAACGAAGCCCCATGAAAGGACCTTCAAGGCGTCTCTACAACCTTGCAATCAACGGCATCACTTGTGTGGGCATTGAATAGCAAGAAGATAATGACGAAGAATCAAACATAGCAGAAGGTAGCCCAGGATTGAAATTATAGAAAATGACTTGAAACGAAAAAAATCACCTGGGTAGGCTATGGTGTTTTATCTTAGTTGCACTGGGATTCCACACCGCCGCGAACGCACCAGAAAGCCGATGGCCCTGTGGGAAAGCCAAAGTGCGCTATCTTCCTCTAGTTTCCTCTTTGCAGGACTCTTCCCTCTCAATTTGGTCAATCTGCAATCAAAAAAGATGTGATCCTTGATCAAACAGGGTCTAATGGAGCATGCTGAAGACTTTTTATACTGTATTCCATTCCGCACTTTGGTTCCCATCTGCAAGTCCTTGGGGAAGTCTCGAAGGCTTCGCACGAATGTCATGCCTCCAAGTACAGACTGGCATGACTCTGACTCGGACTCAAGTCAAAATTAAGATATATGCTATATAATATATATACATGTATAGATATATATATATACATAGATTGTTAGACAGAAAAATATATGTCAATATATACTTCTTTTTTGCCCATTGATCAGACAACAGCAATTTTGGTGAATTATTTAAAGTAAAGTGTCAAATTTGCAGTACCTGTGTCAGTAAACATTACATGGTTTGGAATGAGGCTACGGCTGCAGAGATTTTGGAGAGACGAAAGTCAAAAGTATTTTGTGGTGCCTGAAGAATTTCGACTTGTTTGAAACTTGCAAGTGGATAGCAGCCATGTCAGGAGAGGAAATGTTTTGATCCCCGCAGATGCCGTCAAGACATGTAATGATGCACAAGATCCCCGGTGCACTTCCACATGTCTGCCCCGCGGTACCAGTACTCGTACTGGGCCGCCCGAATCTTGAACTGCAAGCGCTTGAGGCCTGCGCGGGAGTGGGTGCCCTTGCACACGCGCTCCTTGATGAATTTGCAGCATCTGTCAATGTGCTGGGTGCCAGCTTTGACTTTGAAGGCTTTACCTCCTGGCAACTTGTGCGTCACAATATTGACAAAGGTGGGCTTGGTCCAGACCCATTTGCCACTTTTCTTGACGCGCTTTTTCTTGTGCGCTACACTCTACACCGTCATGCAAGACATCAGGGAGCCAAAGTTTCTAGGCACCCGCAGAGTCCGTGTGGAAGATGATGTTCTTGCCAGCCAAATGCTTCTTCCCCAATGGTGTCCAGTCATGTTTGCTGATGGGACCAGGACCAGGTGCACGGCGAACGGTGAGGCCAGGATTCAAGCGAGTAAGGATGAGCGTTTCTGGTTTTCCCTTTGCACCAGGCCACACCATTGCTCCCATAGAAGGCACTTGTCTCCTGTGACTTGGTGCTTGAGGCTGGGACCTTGGGGGATGTCATGCTTGTCACCTCATCACCTGCTACATCGATCCAGCCCTTGGACTTCTGGAAAACTTGGACTTCTGGAAAACAATATCCTTCTCCTTCTTCTCCACATACTTTCTGCGAACCTCTTCCAAGCGCCTTTGCATATTCTCCACGGCTTTGTGGTTCACGCCCAGAATGATGTGGATAGAAGCCAAGGATACACGAAGAAGAAGCAACAGAAGCATTGCAGATTGGACTTGTAGAGAATGCCCTTCTGGTCCACGACAAATTTGAAAGAGAGGATGCAGGTATTGAGGACAAACACGTTGTTGGCAACTTTTGCGAGAACATCGATACTTGGGGACACCTTCACTGCAATGAACCTTCAATGACGAAAGACTGCCTTTGTTGCATTTTGGGCACACCTTGCCTGACCAATCTGGGAGCAACTTGTCTTGGATCAAAGTCTTGACTATCTGAGTGTCAGAGCACGAAAGCAATTCAGTCATGGTGCGCTTCCAGTGGGCTTGCTCCTTGCGAACACCACGTGCCTTCACAGTGCGAGCGCCTCTGACATATGGAACTTTCTTCCAAGCAAGCGACTTGACAGAGGCTGGGCTCTTGAGCACCATACGCCCCTTACCTTTCTTAGGATCCGGGAAGGGGTTGAACTTCTTCGCCATGACACCGATGCAGCGCGGACAAAGGCCAGCTAGGCTAACACGGCCAAGTCTTGATTTAAAGGAGCTACATGCAACAAAATAGAAATGAGCAGCTAAGCCAATGACACAAATACATGATCTATGCAGGAATGCAAGGCAATGCGCAAGGACTGTTGTGGCATGAAGAACTTAGTAGAAGTGTACATGGAAGCCAAAGCGACTGAATCATGCTGACAACGACCATGCAGACAGCAAAACAGTATGCTAAGCGAAGTTTGACATGCAAAACTAGACTGTGCGTGCACCAACAGGACAAGGACAAGAAGACATTCAGAAGCGATTCATTTTCTCCCGAAGCGGCGAATAGACTTGCTCCACACAAGCACACTGTCCCAACCCAGTGCGCCAAAGAGGGCAAACACTAAACGCAAACTTGAAACTAACAAGACAGTTCACTCATGCTGCTCCCCGAAGTCAAAGATTTCCTCCTCTTCCTCCATCTGGTCCATGACCTCTTCCAAGGCAGCTTCAATCGAGGCTGCATCATCTGGAGCGATGTCGTCATCAGCAGCATCAAGGTCAACGACAGCTCTTGCGCTTTTCAACTCAATGCTCCATGCCTTGAATGTCTTCAAAGCCTTCCTTTCCACAGACTCTTCACGCTCACGCTTGATGGCCACCCGCGCTTCATGTAGAGAAGCTGCACTGCGCAAACAACTTGGGTCTGGGCGAGATTCTGCAAAGAGACTGCACCCTTTGACGATTTGCCCAGTCCGGTTGGCGTTCAGCCTGAAGTTTCTTGAAGATCAAACCCTGCCAAGCCTGCTCCTTCTGGACCTCCTCCTCAAAGCTTGGTGGCAAAGGCAGATCCTTCTGGTTTTTGAACTTACCATACCATCTTTTCCCCTCCTCGGTGAGATAGTCTGCCCCAGAGATGTTCTTGCGCGGCACCGGGTCCTCATTGACACCGTTTTTCCTTTAGTAGACAAACTCTTTGGTGTTGACTAGGAAAGTAGCACGCTTCAAAATGGCATCCACATCAGCCTTTGTGGCTTCCTTGCAAGGACAAGGGCGCACCATCTCCCAAAATACAGGAAATTTCAAGGTAGACATGAAGGATTCGCCTTCATCTACACCAGCTTCATAAGCATTGGCAGCCAAGGCACGGGGTTGGTTCTGCACCCATTTGACAGCTCCCCAGCAGGCCCAGGACATGCTTTCATACAAGTCGACATCAAGCAAAGACTTCAAAGCTTTCAAACCAAGGCTTTGGGCGCATGGATCGTCAAGGCAATCTCCCACACCTCGAAGGAAATCAATTTCCGGACTACATCTGATGCTAGGTTCCCCGGCAACGTTGAACTTCTTTCGGTTGAAGCGACATTGCGCCATCAGCACACTGCGACCAAGAGGGCTTTTACCACACGCAGGCTCACCAAGCATGACAAGGGCAGAGAGATCGAAGTTCCAGATCTCCTCCAAGATCTCGAGCAGCCAGGTGTGAAAGAAGACAGGAGTCAATGCCAATGGCCATGCATACTCTTTGCGCACCAAAGCACCTTCAGCCGAAAGTTGTCGCAGGGCTTGCTGCACAAGGCCCTGGGGCTGGGTGATGAGGACTTTCGCAATTCTTTCGTTTGCCACCTAAGCTGTTGTAGATCACACGAACTCCTTGGCACATGTTTGGAGATGTAATCAAAGCCCTTGTCCAGATCATCATCCTCTAGCTCATCGAAGACTTTCTTGTTTTTGGAGGTAGGCACATCAGCCGTGAGATCAAAGCACCGGAACTGTAAGCCGCCCATATTCTGCAGGCAATATTGCAAAATTTTCCGCCCCATGGTCGGGATGTGCATGAAGTTTGGCCTGTGAAGGACGCCATGGACAAGTTGCTTCATGACAGAGGCCTTGCATTGGTTTGGGAAGACGATGTGCTTCAAGATAGTGTAGTTGCCATCAGTATCCTTTGACCTGACCATTTGAAGTCTGCAATCACTGGAAACTTTGGACCGAAGCCCAAAAGGGGCAGGGAGAAGCTGCAAGTCCTTGTTGACAACTACAGCCTTGTAATGCCTCTCCAGCTCTTCAATGGACATGTCCAAATGGTAGTCTTTGATGAGGTCGAGGAAATGCACTGATGGGTTGCACTCCACATTCTCTAGTTCAATCATGGGAAAGTTCAAGTGATGTTTTGCAAATCAATCAACATTTAATCCTCAACATGGCCGACGGACTCGTTGAGGGTGAAAGTAGAATGAAAATAATTTGTATAAATTGCGAGAAAAAATGCAATGGAACTGCAGGCTTTTTGCGCGGTCCCACTTTGAATTTCAAGTCCCCAGCTGCTTCTTCAGAACAACCAGGAGCCTTGTGGCTCATGGCATGTGAAAGGTGATGCCAAGGAGCGACACACCATTCCGTTACAAACTCTGTTGAAGTCATCCAGAGTCATGTCTTCGGCAGCAGACGACATGCGTTCGATCCGAGACTATTGAACCTGGGCTGCGAAGGGCTTGAGTCGGATACACTGCGCTGGACAGAGGCTATGTTTGAAGCAAGCTGTGATTACCAGATGAGATTTGGACTTGCATTGCGTGAAGACATTGCCAGAAAAGAGTGATGTACATGGAGACATGCGTTGTGTGAAATCATTGCCAGGCAAGGGTGGTGCACAGGGAAGCAGACATGGCAGAACGAAAGTTGAAATACTACACTACAAGACATAGCAGATTTACAGACTAAGGTGATGAGCATATATACAAACAGTACTTCCGGCTAAGTACGACTGACTCAATGTCAATGCTCATGTAACAGCCTCAACGCATGCAGGTGCAAAACGCAATCGCTTTTTTTCGAAGCATCAAAGCACTTGTCACACGCCTTCTGGCGTGCCCGGTGGCAGCAAATGAGCCAACAGTTCTGGTGGTGTCATGGGCGCAAACACTGGAGAACTGTTTGGTAGAGGCCCGGGCGGCGTCGAGGGAGTTGCCGGTGGCGAGCCAGGCGGTGCCAGGCGGCTGGTCGACCACCGCGTTGTCCGGAAACCCAATCGGGAATATCCACGCAGACCTGAGCAGAACAACAGGCATCTAAAGCAAGTGAAGTAGAGGAGAAAATTGCTAACAAGAAGCTCCCAGAAGTCATCTTCATACCTCGGCTGGTACAGGGTTGCAAAACAGAAGGAAAGCAGTGATTGACCAAGAAAGCCCTTGTGTCAGAAGTTTTCTGTGCCAAGCTACTCATTCGAGTCGGCTGCCGAAGGCGGCTCCGTGGATTCCATTACGACGTTGTCCGGAAAACCAATCGGAAAGGTCCAGGCAGACCTGGGCACGGGAGGCTGACAGGATGCCATGGTAACAGCAAGGAGGTGACAACTGAGCAATTGCGTCTGAGCAAGAGGAAGAGTCGGGAACCAGAATGCAAGCAAGTAGCTCCCAGAAGTCATCTTCATACCTTGGCTTGTGTTGGGTCAGACAGACTAAGAGCAGGGAATGATTGGTGACCAGGACTTGTGCGCAACTTTGGCTCGTCAGAGCAACTCCGTACTAGGGCTGCGCAACACCAAGCCTGTTCCCTTCAGGAGGCCAGGCTTTTTGAGTACTTTGCGGAATGCGCGGTGTCGCTTGCAGCGCAGGCCCATGATGCACTGAGACCGCACGAAGGACAGGGACAAAAAGTGCTGAATGCAAATGGCTACACATGCAGCCCACAGATGTGAGACGAGTTCGGGACAGCAATTACCAGAGACAGACAACCTGAACGACTCTGGGAAATGCCAATGGAAAAACTGAAAAACTGAATTATTTGGGAAATGTCAATGGGAAAACTGAAAAACTGAACAACTGAAATATTTGGGGAGATGTCAGGGGTAGAGCATTCCTGGGAAAATTCAGTTTTTCAGTTTTTCAGTTTTCCCATTGACATTTCCCAAAATAATTCAGTTTTTCAGTTTTTCAGTTTTCCATGTTTTTTTCTTTTTTCTTTTTTCTATATATGTCTTTTATTTTTGGTTGTTATCAAATATCTAATTGTTGCTTCATTTTTTAACTCCGGGTCTGCATGTGAGAAGTTTTCCTTTCATTTATTTTGTTGAATAATTCACCAGATGATGTGTTCACTTGTCGATATGGCACCCCCCATCTACCTTCCAAAGGTAGACTTTTGGGGGGTACCATATATATATATATACATATCATATCGATGTGTTCTGCTCTTCAAACCTCAACTCCAAACAGCAGCTTCTGGCAACGATGCCAATGATATGCCATGCATTTGTCCCGTCGCAGCTGATGCAAACCGAGGTACAGAAACCTCCACAGGAGCCAACACCAAACGCGAAGCCCACCATATCGACAATGCGCTGACAGAGGCCGGGAGAAAACTTTGGAAAGTGTACTATAGTTTACGCGTAGTTATACCTATGTATCTATTTATGTTTGTATGTATGTATATATATATTCATATTCATATTGATCTATATTCACTTACTTGTTTGTATTCATTGACATTGACTTACTATCTGGTGTATAACGAGATACTCTCAAAGTAACTTAGTGACTTAGTGGACTTGAGAAACAGTAAATGGTTTGCACGAAGAGCAAGATGAAGCAGCGCCTCTGGACAGGGTAGCCTGCGCTCGGCCATTTCGTCCAGCTGCAAGGCGAGAACCCTCCGCTAAAATGGGGGATTGACACCACAGTTGTATCATGTTATATCTAGTTCAAAATTGGGATACCCAGTTTTTAGTCAACGCCAGTTGGCTGTTAAGTTTTTTGTCAATCTACTTGACATGTTCCACGCCATGATGTCTTCATTTGTGCTCAGTATTTAACCATTTGAATTACCAAAGAGGCTCAGTTGTCGTTGCGTGCTCAAAAGCTGACCAAATTTTGCTGACCAGGTTGGGGTGAATAGGCCAGGTGGGGGTCAGTGAATCTGAGCCAAGAAACAGGAAGCCTTAAGTTTACAGTCTCAATGGTTTTTCAAAACCCTTGCACTTCAAGCAAGCAGGATCCAGGAGCCATTATTGATCAACAAAAATTGGGCTTTGGTTAGCACAGTTCCAAATCTGCAACAACAACAACAATTCATGGGCAGAGACAAACTATTCACAAAGTCACATTCTCCTTACATGGGGATCGCTTGAACTGCCGGCACCTTTTTACCCCTCCGTGGCTGTTGTCGATCAAAACGCTCCCTTCCACGCTTGCTCGGGATTCACTTCGGATTGGACTGCATCACCTACAGCCACCAGCGATGATATTTTCATCACACTGAACTCCAGAACTGGTCAATGGAGAATGACAACAGGTAGAGAGTGTTCAATGTCACCGCTGTGCAATGGGAAATAGCTGACCGCAACTCCTGACTCCCCACGTCACATGACAGTCATCCTAACATTCCTAACATTCCTAACAGCCTAACAAAAGTTGTCTCAACAGAAGTTAGCTCGGCACTCCCAGTACCTCACTTGGATCGTTGGCGCATCTTTCGGCGCTTCTTTTGTAGGCGTCGAGTGCGCTTCTTCTTCCACTTCCAGCGAAACTTGGAGCGAGCCTGAAATCAAAGTATCGCTATGCTGATTGTGCTGCAACTCACATCCTGCAATTCGGCCCATGACTTGTCACAGCTTGGATGAGAGTGGTTGGTCAGGTCATAGCGCAAAGCACTAAGAGAGACCCAATAATGTCGGATTCTTTCAATTCTGTCTGCGATTCTCTCTTCGATTCTCTCTTCCATCGGGAAGACTGGAAAACATCATCTGATGTTGTATATACAGTGCGTACAGGTTTCAAATGAACATCTATCGTGCAGCTTGCACAACGATTATGAGCCCCACTCAAAAGCTCTCAGACAAGCTCTGCATCGAACTCAAAACGATTCTGAACTGAACAGAATGCCCAACCTTCTTGTAGGGGTTGGACTTGTGTGCCATAGCGCCCAGTCCGACCGAGCCCTTGAGCTGGCTCTTGAGCCAATGAATTGGCTCTTGGATACGATCAAACTCAAGTAGGTCACAGATGATATATGTATACAGTGTACACATCTACTCAAATACTGGAAAGCGGGCTTTAAAAGGAGGAGTGCCTCTTCGTTCTCCAGCATGCAATTTCTCACCGGGACAGGGCCTTCTCCGGATGGCTGTGGCCCCTTGGTCCTCTACATCCATGATCTGTCTAGGGTCTTTCAGGCTCTTGCACAACAAATGAGACCTTGAGTTCTGTTCGATGTCTTGCTAGATTGAGACTTGAAGCAAGCCAATCACAATTCACAAAGTCACATTCTCCTTAGATGGGGATCGCTTGAACTGCCGGCACTTTTTTACCCCTCCGTGGCTGTTGTCGATCAAAACGCTCCCTTCCACGCTTGCTCGGGATTCACTTCGGCTTGGACTGCATCACCTACAGCCACCAGCGATGATATTTTCATCACACTGAACTCCAGAACTGGTCAATGGAGAATGACAACAGGTAGAGAGTGTTCAATGTCACCGCTGCGCAATGGGAAATAGCTGACCGCAACTCCTGACTCCCCACGTCACATGACAGTCATCCTAACATTCCTAACATTCCTAACAGCCAAACAAAAGTTGTCTCAACAGAAGTTAGCTCGGCACTCCCAGTACCTCACTTGGATCGTTGGCGCATCTTTCGGCGCTTCTTTTGTAGGCGTCGAGTGCGCTTCTTCTTCCACTTCCAGCGAAACTTGGAGCGAGCCTGAAATCAAAGTATTGCTATGCTGATTGTGCCGCAACTCACATCCTGCAATTCGGCCCATGACTTGTCACAGCTTGGATGAGAGTGGTTGGTCAGGTCATAGCGCAAAGCACTAAGAGAGACCCAATAATGTCGGATTCTTTCAATTCTGTCTGCGATTCTCTCTTCGATTCTCTCTTCCATCGGGAAGACTGGAAAACATCATCTGATGTTGTATATACAGTACGTACAGGTTTCAAATGAACATCTATCTTGCAGCTTGCACAACGATTATGAGCCCCACTCAAAAGCTCTCAGACAAGCTCTGCATCGAACTCAAAACGATTCTGAACTGAACAGAATGCCCAACCTTCTTGTAGGGGTTGGACTTGTGCGCCATAGCGCCAGTCCGACCGAGCCCTTGAGCTGGCTCTTGAGCCAATGAATTGGCTCTTGGATACGATCAAACTCAAGTAGGTCACAGATGATATATGTATACAGTGTACACATCTACTCAAATACTGGAAAGCGGGCTTTAAAAGGAGGAGTGCCTCTTCGTTCTCCAGCATGCAATTTCTCACCGGGACAGGGCCTTCTCCCATTTTTTACTGATCATTGCAGACAGGATGGCTGTGGTCCAGGCCAAGCCAGGTCATTTCTAACTATGAAAACAGGAAATGTCCGCTGTGAGATGCGCTTAGTCTTGCAGAGCCCCTGTGCACTTGCGACAAGAAAAACGTCACATGTTGGTGAATATATACGCAAATACAGATTTATGTGTGTATATGGGCATATATGTGTACATTTATTCTTCGTACATTTCTAAACGCATTTCTGCACATGTTTTAAGGTTGATATCGTTTGTCCAAATAGAAAGATCGCAGCTATAGATGTGTGTATGAATAGTGTGTCACGGGCACAGAGAATACTGCATGTTATATGTCCAGTATATCTATGAATAATTATATCTTATATATACATATACATATATATATATTATACATGTATATATATATATTTCCGTGTATATATATATACGTATATATAATTATATATACAATATATCATTTATACAATGTGTCTACAAAATTCAAATCTGAGAGTTCCTGCTCCTGGCTGCAGTAGCCAACTAAAGTCACAAAATCAAATTGTTTCAAAACCATCTATGCCAAGAGGCTTGCACACAGGTCAGGAAAAGCATCAAACGATGCTGCCGCGAAGCCGTCGCCATGACTTCACTTTAAGCGAAGCCGTCGCCTACTCTGTTGGTAACTTCGGTATACCAGCTGGTCCCAGCAATCCCAGTGATACGCTGCAGTACCACGACTTCGAAACTTGAGGAGTTAGAGAACCAGAAAGAAAAGGCTAGACCGGGCATGAGATTGAAGGACCAGCTGTTTAAGTGGCATATCCAAAGTCATTTTACACCAAACCAGTGCATTCCTTTGGAATACACCTGGAGTTTGAGGCAGAGATGTTGTTTCCATTATCGTGACCCTATTTTTAAGGGCTGGGGCATCTTCAACCCACAGTGCGCAAAGTGCTTCTCCATGGTCTCTCGCCTAATTGCAAGCAAGATCGAGCCAGCTGTGACTTCTGCTGGTTTGTGCTTGGGAAAGGACGCAGAGATGCGGCAAATACTCTCTACGGATCCTCCACTGGAGATCATGCCAACTTATTCAAGAGAGAGGGATAGTGTGAAAAATATACACCAAGCCGTGCAAACACTTCGATCATCTTCCATCGATTCTCTCTTGGGTCTCCAACTGCTTCTTTGCGAGTCTCCAAGCTTCTTTGCGTTCCCGCTGTGCCTTAGGTGCACGCACTAGGACTCCTTGGGATCCTTGGGATCCTTTGCAAAGCTCCATTCGGAGATGGCCCCAACATCTCTAGTAGGTTGTAAACGCGTATGATGCTATGTTCACCACCCATGGACCTGGCCTGATTGAGCTTTCTTCCAACATCTCGAAGGTGCCGGATCTCCTGCGATCACAAGAAATTGTCAGAATCCCTTCGGACCTTCGGACCTTCTAAACACTTCTCATCATGGATTTGTTGTTCGCACTGGTGCTGCGAACAAGAACTGCAAGGTCCAATCACTCCTTCCGGATTTCCCCTGAGTCGTCACAGCGGGCCTGCTTCTGACCTCAGGATCAACATGGGTGCAAATGCACCGGGATTGACTCAAATCTTTGTGCCAATTGGTTAGCTTCAGGCCCGAAAATGGATCAAAGTTTGGTGCCTTGGGATTCATTCTCTTTGAGCCCCACACACTTTCCCAAGCAGCCTACTTCTGCCTACTTTTGCTGAGACAATCAATCTTATGGTCTGGCTTCATTCCCTTGGAAAAAAGCAGCTTGACATATACAGAGTGAGGCACCTGGTGTGCCAGAGCTTCACCCCTGATACACGGCCGTGCGGCCCAGTCCCACTCAGTTGCCCCACGCAGCATCTCCTCCCGTTGTTCAAAGGCTTCCAGCTTCAGGCGGTCGCGCTCTTCAGCAGCAGACTCCACCTATCCAGCGCTAGTGTCACGCAGGTGGAGAAGGAATCTTGAGGGGTTCTGAAATTGGGGGATCCAAAAAATATCTAAACTAAGCTGGCTATTCTCAATAGGGAACTCAATTGCAATGGTTTTGGGATATCCAAATTTTGGGATCAGCAATAAGCAATAGTGTAGTTCAAGGGAGTAGTGTATTCAACACATTAAGCAACGCCACCAAGTGTTCGTCACATGGCTTGTCACTTGGGCCTTGCAGTTGTTTCATCACCGAATTGAAGCTGCTTCCCGACAGTCGACCCAGTCGACCAGATCCGACAGTCCCAAAGCCACCTGGTTGTACTTCAGCCGCCAGCGGAGGCGTTCCTCCAGAAGTTTGCTGGCCATCCTCCAAGGCGCCGTTGAGCCACACAAACGTGAGAAAACATTCTGCGCTGCGGTAAAACAAGAGGAATGATTTGAAAAAAAAACAGATTTGATGAAATTACCAAAAACAAGTTTTGCAAAATCTTACAAAGAGGATTTTGGGCCTAGAAACAAGAAACCAAAGTCTCTTCCATGGCCTGTTCGAAACATGGCAAGCCATGGCTGGGCTTCAAATGGTCTTCTAGAGTCCTCCACTTGATGCTGGCGGCTTGCTGCACCACCCGCTCCTGGGGTAGCGAGAGAGAGAAATCTGTGGCTAATGTGTGGACACCAAATCTTGTGGCCCGCGTACTTTTACAGGACTTCCTGTTTGTAGTGCTGGAGAGAAGGGCAGAATCACATGAGCAAAGATATCCAGCAAGCTTTCCAAATAACTCCAAGGGGAGTGGGCTCAACTCAGAAAGTCACTTACTTTTGTCTCATGCTGGCAGTTGAAAGCCCACCTCGACACCATGTTGATGATCCACCCGCTTCATTAGCTTCTTAGTGTTGGCGGCAAGTATGGGTGAATGGCAGCCGATTCAGGGATGTGCAGGATAACATTCTGGTTTGCTGGTGTTGAACCAATCCCCTTCAATTCCGAATCAGAATTCTCGATCGAAGGATAGCAGAATTCCAGGGTCAACAGCAAATCAGGAGATCTCAAATGGTTCTGTATTTTTTCCTGGATCCACTTGCTATGAGGGGAACTCGATTAGGTCAACATTATTGTTTACCACATGAATCATATTTAAGTTAAGCATATCCCCTTTCCATCCCCTTTCCCATGCTGAGTGGCAGACATCCCTGCGTTTGATCTCAAATTCCCGCAAGGTGCCCAGTGTTTTGTCTCTTGCAGCATCCTCTCGGTCTGCATGGCTCACGCGAGAACTGGAAGTTGAACCTTGCAGGATTGACCAGTTCCACAATGGTAAAAGCTGGGCTGGCAATCTTTCCAGAGTTAAAGAAGTGGGGAGGCTCTGAGAGTGTTGTCCCTCTGACACAACTTGATCAAAAGACCGAAATGAGGACTGTGATCTGCAACCGTTTGTAGACCAAACAAAAAAACTGAAGTGTTGCTGCGACATGTATCAATCACCACGAGGTCAACACCAGGTTTGACAAAACAAGCATGTCAGCCACTTCAAATATTAGATATCATCACTACCTTTGCCACAGCCTTTGTCGCAAAGCCTCCCCGTCGCTGCCGCCCCCGCTGCCAACAACAACAACAACAACAACAACAACCACAACCACAACCACAACAACAACAACAAAAACAAAAACAAAAACAAACAAACAAACAAACAACAACAAACAACAAACAACAAACAACAAACAACAAACAACAAACAACAAACAACAACAACCAACAAACGACAAACGACAAACAACAAACAACAAACAACAAACAACAGCAACAACAACAACAACAACAACGACAACGACAACGACAACGACAACAACAACGACAACAACCACAACAACAACAACAACAACAACAACCACAACCACAACCGCAACAACCGCAACAACCGCAACCGCGGCAACAACCGCAACAACCGCAACGACCGCAACGACCGCAACAACCGCAACAACCGCGACAACCGCAACAACCGCAACAACCGCAACAACCGCAACAACCGCAACAACCGCAACAACCGCAACAACCGCAACAACCGCAACAACCGCAACCGCAAAGGCGACAGAAGCAAAACCAAAATAGATATAGGTATTATATCATGATGTGCATCCCTGATTGGCCCCTTCCATTGGTCGCAGGGTGTGGTCAAGAACTGGTTGGTACTTACCAAGCAGGACGGCCTCAACCTCACCAGCACTTACACAGCACATGGCTTGAGATGCCGGCGCATGGAAGACCCTAAGGTGGCGTTCCTGAGGAGAGGCTGTTTGTGATGAAATCCTATTAGAAAGTTTGGCCAACCATCTGATAATTTCAAATCAAAAAAAAACCTGAATTGTTCATGAAACGCTCTGGGAGCTGGAATTTGAGCCTCGACAAGTAAAGTCACTGACTGAGTTCACGACGGTGTTGATGGCAGACTCTTCTTTGGACGAGTTGGATCATCCTAGAGATTCGAATGCAAGGACATGGCAAGAGTTTCCCATTCAGACTTAGTGAAGAATTTTTCAGTCACCTGGTGGAGTTGCAATGATTTTTTGAAATGCCTGGTGCAACCAGCACTCACATGAATTCGTCTGAAAACACCCAAAATTTCCGTAAGGTCCCTGGTTTATCATGATTTTCCCTGAAAAATCACTATCAGAGAAGGAAAATTTTCATGATTCTCCGGCAAAAAAAAACAGGTGTTTCGGCCTCGAAGGAAAGCTGATGCATTGCCTCGCGGAGTTTGGAGGCTTCATATTTTTCCTCTTCTTCGATGATGAGACCTGGCCAGGATGGGAAAATTCAGCAGCAAAAATCTGGAAATTCATCAACAAAAATTGGGATTTCATGGGGGTTTGTGTGCATTACATTATATATATATACATATTATATATATATATTATATATATTATATATGTTATATATATATTATATATATATACGTGTGTGTGTGTTTCAATGGTCAGTATTTTTCCTAGAACGTTTGATGGGGATTTGTTATGGGGATGTGACCAAACATGTTCCTGGCATATAATTCGGGCATCGTATCGGAAAGCAACCGAACTGATATGTTATGGGGAAAAAATGGCTAAGTTGGGGAATCTAGGCGTATATGATGTGTGTGTGTGTATATAAGTATATACATACATGAAAAGTTCAAGGTAGCAACTGTTGTCTCTCCCTCTCTCTCTCTCTCTGTTGCAGAAGCTGTGCACACTTTGGTCTGTTGGGCACTGCAGGCTCAAGGCCTGTTGATCCATCATGTTGACAAACGTCACGAACTTGTGCTAGGCACATGTTGTTTTTTAACCCGGCCCCTCAAATTGTTCCCACGTTGTCGGAACACCTTGCACAAAATATCTAGCAACGCGTTGAAACGTAATCACATGAGTTTGTTGTTTGTGCGTGCACCGGCGTTGTTGCACAAGCCGCTGTTCTCCAGTTGGCTTGTCTATTTCTACACCTGTTAGAACCGCAGGTGTTGACTGTCAACTATACAACTAATGAATTATCTGTTCACTCCACGCTCATTGTTGGCCTCTCTCAGATGTTGGTTGAGCTCCATGTTGCACTCATCATTTTCCGCTCTGTTGGTTTGGACCTGTTGGCACCGGGATGTTCGATGAGCTCCACCCCAAGATACACTGCTGATCCCTTAGCCGCTGCCATCCATGTTGACATCTGGCTGGTTGACTTCAAAGATCTGCGAGCTCCTCTTCAGACAGCTGGTTTTCTGTGATGCCTGGCGCATTAGTCAGGTGTCCTTGCCCTTTGAAGGATCAGTCCGCTTGTGCTGATGGATGTTGAATCCAAACTTGTTGACCGAGGGTGTTGCTGTGGTCTGTCACAGCCATGTGCTCATCATTGTGAGCACCCACCAGAGACGCGCCTTGTTGTCATCCACTGATACCGGGTGGAGTTGGTCAGGCGTCATCTCATGTGGGTTGGCTATTGCGCTTCGGAGCACAAGCGTGCAACCATCTCCAATAGCTTCCGTGGGCTCAGTGTTGCGCCCTCTTAGTCGTACACGCTCACATATTCATTCATTTCAGTGTTGGTCACCGAAGATGACGTTGATCTGGGCGCTTTCTTGATGTTGGGACCCTAGGTTGCGGAACGCATCATCTCGGCCAGCCGTAGCAAGGCAGTGAACTCATGACTGCTATTGCATGTGGGGCTTTGGGGGGGGAAGTTTCAAAAATGACTTGGAATTATGACCATAAGTCTTGGACTAGGCTGTGCATTGAGGAATGCTATTGCATGTAGGGCTTTCGGGGTGAGGTTTTAAAAATGACTTGGAATCGTGATCATGACTCTTGAATATTTGGGAATTTTGATGTGAAATCGAGCTCTCGCTGCAGTCTTGCGCACATTTTGCTGACCTCATCTTCCAGAAGTGCTCCGAGCATGACATATTTTTAATATTTTGAAGTGCAAATCGAGCTTTCGCTACAGTCCAGTGCACATTTTGCCGACCTCATCTTCTTTAAAAGTGCTCCGAACCCCTTCGTTTTTTTTAAACATTTTGAAGTGCAAATCGAGCTCTTGCTCCAGTCCTGTGCGTTTTTTATCGACGACTTTCGCAGATCGAGCCCCGCAACCGCGGCAACAGAGACCCTACTTCGGCGAACACCGAAGCCACTTTACCCAAAGAAACACGGGGTTTTGCGCCCAAGAGTGTTTTCACCGGTGAATTCACACGAGGCCGAACTGTTACACTTCCCAACTACTTGATGATGGATGGTTGACATGATGATGTGGTTGACATAATGGTGGGAATGCTGACCATGACAACCGTGCATAACTCGGAAGTTTTCTAACTAAACTTCCGTTGACAATCCATAAATGGCTAAATCGTAAATCGTCATGTATTGCAATCATGGCTGGTCTTATACCCCATCTATCCCCAGTATACCCTGCCCTATACCAACAATGTTATATTTTGGCTTGTCCAAAAATTGGTTACCGATCTTTAACAGAAGTTCCATGATCAACAATTTTTCGACTTTGGGGTGCCGCATTTGAGAATTCAAATGGATTGCCAAAAAGAAAGAAAATTGGTTGATGATTTGGCTGGAATGGTACCATAATTCAACCACTAGGAAACCAGTGGAACTAACGGGGATGATGTCAAAGCCCTCAAGGCTGCCAAGCCACCATGGTGCAAGTCTCTTACTGCCTCCCTGACTTCAGGGAATGAAACAACCGAGAAATGTGCAGACCTCATTTGCAAATCTTAGCCCAAAGCAATCCGCAGCATCCCCATCAACTTGCAAGCAGGGCGATCAAAGCAGTCAGTTGCCATAAAAGCCAGGCTCTTCGCCATCCGCTTCTTCGCCCTTCAGCAACTGTCATGCACAAAGAGCTGTCTGATGCATTGAAAACACACTGGTTTGTCGAAAAGTCGGGGATACCCCAAAATTGCCAGCACAGAGGAAATTATGATTAACCATGATATTTTGGGGTATCCATTTTCAGACAAACCTAACATGACACTTTTGACCTCTTTCGAAACATGCAATTCGTACATATATATAGGATGTTTCAGGACGAACAGCGGGATCCTTTGAAGCCCTGAAAATTCATCGCACAACCAAGTCCATGACTCATACTCTTTGCGCCGCCACCTTGTCCTTGGTCAATCTGCTGCATCTATCCTCTGCTTTTGCGGACTAGCAAGCCTTTTTGAATGACTTTGGAGTTGTAAAGAGACACGGATGGCACGCTGCACCGCTGTAAGATCCCTGCTCTAATTTGGGGTAAGTTAAGTGGAGCTCGGCGCTCTTTCGTGCAAACTCCTGCAACCACCACCATCACCATGTCAAATCTGTTCATGAAAGTCATACACGGCCTCAGAAAGCAGAACCAAAGCATATACACATTATATATGAGAGGTCTTTTATATATAACACTTGCAACAGCATGTACTACCTCCCAGAAATCATGGCATATTTGGCATCTTGTAGCAGAAAGGCTCCAGTCCTCATCCACTTGATTTGCGTTGGGCACGTTCTTCATACGTTGAATCAAGTCTGCCATGTGCCACGAGATGTGTCACAGCGCAGAAAATCTGGGAAGTTCCATTTACCCTGTATTTTGCAGCCCAGACTAGAGCAAGAAACAGTTCCAGCAAAAAATCCCCTGATCCATCAGAAAATGGGCCATTCAACATCCATGTTGGGACATCCCATTATGTCACGCACATCTATCCCCTTTGACAGCCCTGCCTCGCAGCTGTGTCTCAGAGGCAACTCTCTTTGGACCTGGCCTGAGCTTCCTGGTGCCGGCGTTAAAACTTACCATCGAGGCGGTCAGATGCAGTGAGATACCATATGAATGGATGCAAATCTATGCAAGTCTTTGCAAATCTATGCAAATGTATAGAGGATATAGAATATAGATGGATATAGATGAATATAGATGAATATAGTATATAGGACATACACCCTGGAGGGTACCAATTGACATTAGCTACAAATCGGTGGACTTGTCGATTCCCGCGTCTGTGGACCAAAGGGACCAAGTGTCATGTGGGGATCAGGGCTTTAGATGCTAAAGACCTGAAGATCATATGTGCCATCGTCAAAACACAGTACGACATCATGGGGACATCCTTGCAATGGGTATATACATCCCCATGATGGACCATATGTATATATCTATATAACATGTATGTATATATAATAACATTTATTATAATCCAACTTTTGAACATGGCACATATATTAAACGCTGAAGCACCACTCTGAGCCTGGCCTGATCAGCAGTGAAGGTGCAGAAGACTGCGGAGACATCGGGGGCAGAGTCACCTCTCAACATGTCATTTCAGCCTGGTGAAAAAAAAAAAGCTGGAACTGTAAAAGGATGTTAAACTGGATGTTATTGGATGTTCATGTCCAAATCATCCATGGTACAATAGGTTTCGGTGCATGGAACTTGAGGCCCTCTGCACGATTCCCTAAGCTACCAACAAAACTATGGAAATCCCTGCGCCAGAGAAAAACTATGGAACAACTATATGTCAAGAGGCACCTCTGAGGCCGAGCCCATGGGGCTGGGGGTCTCCTTGGAGCTGTGACTGCCCCATTCGAGAAACTGCATGGCCTCTATGGAATTCTGTTGTGACTCACATGACCTATGAAGCATTCCAAGTGTGAGGAAACCCAGATCCAGTACGAACCTTGGGGGACTGTGACAGCAACAAGTTGGATTTAATCGTGGCGGCAATCATGTTGGACTCTCAGAGTAAAGAACACAGAATCATGTCACAACTGTAGTGAATCATTCGTGGGCGATGCTGTGCTTGAAAGACCATGTTCCAAAACGCCGTGGTTGCGCATGTCTCCTGATGCAACATGTTTAGCCAACTGGTAAAACAAATGAAGAGGCCTGGAATAGTGCAAATGTCGAAGCAATCTGAGCTCCATACATGAGCTCTGCTCACAGAATATTCATCCAACACCTGTTTACAATGAGCAAATACCCCTCCACGTTGATGCTACCCTCATCACAAGTGCCACCTCTTCACCAAAAATACCAGTTCACTGAAGCATTTGCTGTCATTATCCGTGGAGATTTATTGAATGACAAGAGGACAATCTTTATTGATGCTCTATCTCAGAGGATTTCAATGAACAGCAGGCAAAGCAACAACCAAAGCACAGTGTGCCACAAAGGTGGGTTGTTTCCTTTCCCAACAGGCCTCTTTGAAGAAGCCCAAAGCCACTGGATACGGCCTGAAACATGAAAATGTTGAAATGTATTTGACCACTATCATACTATCTTTACAACTGAGTCTGCGTAATACACTGAATTATACATGAATTTAATTATGTATATATATATATATATCATACATATATATATATATACACACTATATTATATATACACTATATTATGAACTAAATTAATATGCACGAATGAGTTTCGACCAACATTCATCTCCATCTTACCACTGAGGCCGCTGCGTTGTAGGCGCGCCGGCGAGGTTCGGATCCTTGGTAAACCACATTTCCTTTTGGCACCACCGATAGCTGCTGTATGGGTCTAGTGGCCACATAGGCCCCGGAACGGCCAAGATAGCAAAACATAACATAACAATAACGTAAAATATAATAATATGACATAACATAACATAACATACCATAACATAACATAACATAGCAAACCATAACATAACAGAACATATAAACAGGAACTGGAGAACTGTGACAACCTCAGTCTGAACCTGGTTTGGAAACTGCAAAAAAATCAAAGAAACATCACTGCTGCACACAGAATTTATATAAAAGAAGAACTACATCGCCCCGGATTGCATTCACCAAATGGGGTGTAATGGGGAGTTCCGCTTACCATGTCGTCGATCTCAATCTGCAGCACAGTTACTGGCGGTCCACCCTCTCGCCAATTCCTCAGCACAATCCAGATCAAAATACTGCAAAGTTTGGCTTGCCATCGAAGAATGAAGCTACTTTGCGAACAGTTGTATCACATTTATCACAGGCGGACCTCAAGAAAACTAAGCCTGCAGCGGCTGCAGTTTTTGATGGACATCATCTTTCGTAGTGCGGTCCTGCCAAACAGCTGATATTCACATGAGGGCGTGCAAAGATTTACACGGCAGGGGCGCATCTGTTTTCACATGTGATTTTGGGCCTGGATGCCAATGGATTTTCCATTGCAAGTCCATGCTTCTACACACAACTGGAAATGGTTTGTGGGTGCTTCACTTCTCTATTTCTACGCGTCATCCATGCCATGAGCACTGATGGAATGTTTTCGCACTCCTCCTTAGGCTCTTGTAGCCCAAGTTCAAAAGACTATTTCATCCACGCGCAAAAATCCCTTGAGGATTTCACTGCAAAAAACACTCGTCCTTCGGGATTCAGGAGAGCCCGGCATCCTTTCTCCAATACAAATGCTGGGCAAAACTATTCTTTGACCAACAATTTGACAAGTTGGTTTCTCTGATAACTCACCGCAGCAGCATTCGCATATCATCTATGTCTATGTAGCATTTTGTAGACCTGAGAAAGCCACTCTTCTCCACGGTTCCTTGCCTTTTCGTTGGAAACTGCTGCGAACTTTGCACGAAACTTCACTTGTCAATCCAGCACCAGGGTCCCTTGGTTCAAGGATGGCATCGATTGCTCTCTGAAACTCTCTTGCGTCCTCATAGTTCTCTGATGCCAGACACTCGTTTTGTGGACCACGCAAGTTGCTGAGCAGATCTTCTAGCTGTCGCTCAGCACTCTGTCCCGAGTTCTTCTTCATCTGTCCCGAGTTCTTCTTCTGCTTGTTCTCCACCATCCATAGCATCAGCTGAGCTTGGCAAAGCTCGAGATCTGATGCTCCAGCAGCATGTGTCGGCGTTACCATCCGGCCAGATCTGATTGAAGGTCTAGGCGGTGTATCTGTGGTATCTGGTTGCTTCTGCAACGTCATGACTTCAGCTTGGAGATTGCTAATGCCATCTCCGTTGTCTCCCAGAAGAGTATCTGCCTCTTCCTGCTGGAGCTCATTGTAATACAAACGCTTATCCAATCTCTTCCGCAACCAGAATGCTGCAAAACCAAAACCGTGCAAACACAAAAAAATCCTTCAGATCCAAAACGTGTCACCACTGTTGGCCATGGATGGTCACGAGACTCCTCCTGGCCTGCTACAGTGGTTGCCTGAGAATGGTTTTGGCTAAGTTCGACATGTTCCTGGTGTTTGAGCCATATGTGCGCAGCTCTTCACGCTCTAGCTCTCCAACAGGCTCATGGCTTTCCACATACAACATCCCAACTTCTCGCGTCAACACAACCAAACGCTTCTTTGAGAGGGGTTTGGTCCCCACATCGCTGATGTTAAAGTTTGACAGCAAAACTTCTCCCTCACGGGCGGCCTTTGTCTGGACCCATAAAATTTTCCCTGACAGGTGGCGCACCTTGCCACATCATTGTGGGGCCACCAGCTGGCGTGCCGACGAACTGCCGGTGTGATGCACCTGAAGCAACTTTGCGGCCAAGATGGATTCCAAACATCTTTGAAAAAACAAACGGTCACACATGGAGGAAACGGTCGAATGGAGTTCGCTTTCGCACGATGACAAAAAGTGAACACATGATGTCGATTTCCTGTGGCTGCGGTTTGCCATCCGCATCCGAAAAAGTTTCAAGCACCCACTGGGCTTCATTGCTAACTTTCCACTTTCCGTGTCCAGGCATTGGATTGCTAAGTTTCACTCCCGGATTTCCTGTGCCCTTCAAGTAGCCCACGAGCTCACGCAAGTTTGTAATGCCATAAGACTGGGCTTGGACATCTTCCATTACATCTGGGCGATCTCTTCCAAGATATCGGGCTGTTCCAACTATGGAGCGGAAGTGACTTGCATCCTCTGGCGTCAATGGCTGCAAAGTGTCCTCCAATTGTATGGAGGCGTCACAAGGTACACTTTGAACTCTCACTGTACCAAACTTCTCCTCGAATGCTTAGACAATCTTTTCAACGTCTATGCCAGGTGTGATGAGAATGCCATTACTCAATTGAACGAGCTTCTTTTTCAGGAGGGTACTGGAGGAACGCTCACCCAATTCTGGGTGGGAAACTGAAAACTTCTCCTTGCACTTCTTGAGGAAGGTCCCATGGAAATGTTCACACGTTCCAAAGTAGAGAAGGTCATCCACGTGCATCAACACTGTGGCCACTCGAGATTTTCCCAAAGAAGGTTGTTCACTGCAAAACTCAGATGCGAGGTTGGTGTACAGGAAGTTCCTGAAGTACCAATACTAGGTTGAGAGCCTTGCCTTTGTCCCGGGAGGTTCTTCAAAAAGACAAATGGAGAGTTGTGTAAATACACCAGGATGGGGTCTCTCTGACTGAGGGACCTGCAGAAAGGCATCTTTGATGTCCAACGCTGCCAGCAGTGGTTTGTACTGGCCTTCTGCTTGACGTTGAAGGTGTAACAAGGGGAGCCAATTTGTTGTATGTGCACCTGTTGAGGTGTCATCGCGCTTGGTGGTGGCGTATTCACGAGCCACCAGGCGACTTCTTCGCATCCACCGCTCTCTGGACTGCCCCTCGCACACATAAAGCTTCTTTCGCCAGTCAGGCCTGACCAGCACTTCCATCTTAAGCAAACAGTTGATCTCAATCTAGTCAGCCACCTGATCGACTGAAGAATATGGTGGCTGCCCTTTCAAATCCCAATCACTTCAAACGACTTCCGGTGTACCTGCAAAGTAAAGTTCATCTTCACCAAACCATGCATCATCAGTGTTCTCTTCAACGCTCTCATTCTGGCACTCTGCTGCATACTCATACATGGTGTGGTACTCTTCTTTGCCAAACTGCACTGTTCTCACCATTCTTGCTGCTCTGCTGCACGCTGCTCCACTGGGTTGATTCTCGGCTTCTTGTGTTCTTCTGTTCTTGCACGCATGCTCTCTTGTTGGTGAATGTCTTGGACTGCTAGGAGCACCAGCAGCCGCTGGCTCATGTGGAGTCATGGGGACCTCAAGTCCAACATCTTGCTTTGAAGTCATTCCACTCAAACTTGAACTTGCTGCACCACTAGGAGAAACGGTTGAAGCAACTGCGCTGGATGGAGGCGCAGCAACTGGCTTTGGAACACGGACTACTGTGAGTTCACCTTGAACTTCTTCGCCAAAAATCCTACCATCTCCAAATTCCACATCACGCTGAATCTCACCAGGCTTGCCATGGCCTGACATTCTCTGCTGCTCTGTCTCTTCCATCTGCTCCTCCTGCGCTTTTGCTCTAACAGCTTCTGCCTCTTCGTCTACCAGCTTGCTAGGCTCAACGGGACCTATTGGTGCTGAAAAACTCACAGAACGAGGCATCACTTTCTTCTTGGTTGGCTGCACTCTGCCTCCAAAGCCCACCTTGCACTGCCAAGAGAAAAGATCAAACTGCTTGTAAAATGCCATGTAGTTCACCCAGTTGGTCTTGATTCTGCGCACTGACCGCGCAAGAACCAACGTTGTTCTAGCATAAAGGAGGAAACTGTCTTGACCTCCAACCTTTCCTGTGAACAACATGCGCTACCGTTTTGGGTTGCCTTTCAAAGAAGTTCCGGAAAACCCCAGCACAGGCTCTGCAAACTCGCAAACTTGTCCATGATACGGCTTGCCGTACACAACTTCAAAAGCTGTCAAGCCCTGGTGGGGATTGAATCTGTTCAAGATCCACGCAGCGTGTCTCATGCACCAGGTCCACAAAGCATGGTTTGAGCTGATTGCAACTGCAAAGAATGCATTGAGCTCCCCGCCAGACCTCGAATACGCTGAATGGCATTCTCTGCAAGTGCATGTCCATACTGATATGCTGAAGGAGTGCATGCCTGCGTCCTAAGACCAATCTGTTGTCGAGATTGCACCACCAAACGTTGCAACTGAAGCACCGACGGTTCGCTATCGCACCTGAACATGACATCGTTCCAACCAAGTGTTGGGCAGAAAGCAATAATCCCCTTGGGTGCCAAGTCAGGTTGCGCCTTGCTGCTCATGGGCACGCACCCCAAGAAACCAGTTGTGCCATCCACAAGCACCAAGGAAATCAACGCATCAGGATCTTGACTGTCTTCTCCAGCTTTCGTAAAGAAATAGTCAAACGAAATTGCGGGAACACTACCCTCTTTCGAAGAGAAGTCCCTTGGGTGTCTGTCAGCACGAGCTCTGCGTGCAGGTTCTGAACTCCAAGTTCTTCTGATGCTGCAAAAGCCGTCCAAAGCATTTCGCCCTGCTATTTGAAGTTGAAATGCCATACGTTGAACAAGGTGCGCGTAAACTGGCTAAACTGCTGCTATTTGGTGTCAGTGTTTTGCCATTCACCACAATCTCATCGTCCTTTGCTGGACGCACAACGTTCAAGTGTGTTTGCCTCTAGTTGCTCTAACATGCAAACAAGCAAGCGAAAGACAGCGGCCGGTTTTTTTGCCGGAAGAGGTTCTGTGTGCTCAGAATAGATTCAAACAAACCTCTGTATCACAACCCCCAGGCGGAGCAGTCTGTAGCATTCACACTCCTCGCTTTGACCGAAATGCCTTGCGTAGGCAACCATGTTGGTTTGTGATGCTTCCGCACAGCGCCAAAAGCTCAGGGTGTGGGAAAAAAAAACCTATTTTTTGGGAGGGGCAGCAAAAAATCAAGAAAGCTCGCAACTAGAGCCAAATGTGGCCAAACGAGAACTGGATCCACACCTTAAACACCAGGGAGTGAACACCCTTACCGTTCAAGTGTGTTTGTCTCTAGTTGCTCTAACATGCAAACAAGCAAGCGAAAGACAGCGGCCGGTTTTTTTGCCGGAAGAGGTTCTGTGTGCTCAGAATAGATTCAAACAAACCTCTGTATCACAACCCCAAAATACACTGGCAAAAAAACGACTCGCTGACTTCCCCCCGTTTCAAGTGAGACGTTTTCTTCAACCAAAGGGGGAGCCTTTTAAAAAAAATCATGAAACGTAGAGTGGCTTAGGCAAATCCCAGCCAACCTGGACATCTGCGGGATGAAATGTCGCTGCTGGTGCAGCCAACCACAAATCTGATAGTTCCAAACGATGGCGGCATTC